AGAAGGAGGGGAGGGAGAGAGAACACCATTAAGTGAAACAGTGGGCTCTACCTATTAGGCTCAAAAAGTTTGGGATCTTTACATACACATCTATCTATCTGTCTGTCTGTCTGTCTGTCTGTTTATCTATCTATCTGTCTCTGTGTACAAACTAATAGATAGATAAGATGTATACATACGTACAGAGATAGATAGATAGATAGATAGATAGATAGATAGATAGATAGATAGATAGATAGATAGATCTTTACTTTTGGTTTTACTTGTGTGGTCGGCCTATCATGATTGCACCGTTGGACTCCTTCAAACAGAATAAAACTCTTCCACGTTGAGGCTACATCTAACCTCCCATAACTACAGTTTAGAAAAGCACAGTGTTGGATTCTTTCAAACAGGGAACGTGGGTCTGAAGACAAATGTGTGATGTTATCTCTGAAGGGTCTTGGTATTACAAAGAGACAAACACAAAAAGGTTCTGTGGATTAAACTTTATAGCAGTAAAAAGTGTTTTTTTAAGCAAAATCTTACATGAAACCTAATATAAGGGAGGAATGTTTTTGGCTGGTAAGGAAGGGGACCCTAATCTTACATCTCCCTGGGGATGAGGGGGTGGGAAGCACCTAAAAGGAGCACTAGGGAAGTGTGAAAGTTTCTGATCTCATGTACTCTTCTAACTCGAGGCGGGAAACTTATTTACACTATTCCAGACATATAGATTAGGATCCTATTTTAACAGCATTTCCAAAAGAAATTTCCATGGCTTCATCCATCCTCTTTCCCTGGTATATAAATCCTTCAAAGCAGGGTGCTGTTCTTTATCTGTAATCTAAAAACAGCCCAGTGCTTCTCAACTTCTTTTGCCCTTAGTCTGCGGTCAAGGTCTTGATTGTCTGGTTCCCTGTTGGAAGGCTCCACATTTTCTGGTGAAAAGAATTGGTCTGGTTTCCTTCAGACCAGAGAATGTGAACTGTTGGCTCTTGGAATTGTGCCTGGCTTCAGTTAATCTTCTAGTCTTTGTCAGTTCAGATGTGAGCCCTTTCCTTTCCAGCATCCCAAAAAGTTGTTCTTTCAGAAAGAAAGAGAAAGAAAAGAGCAAAAATTAAAAAAGAAACAAACTATTTATACCTAACATACATATATTCCTACAGTTAGGAATTTTCTGAGTCTACTGAGGCAAAGCCAGAGCTGGGCTCCTAGGTATCCCAAAGCTCTCCATTTACCCAGGAACAGGAATAAGATGCTTCAAATTTAATTAAAAACAGGATGTCCCTGCTAGACCTCTCACTGATACTGCTAAAAATAAAGCAAGGAAGTAGCCTGGTTTCTTCACAGTTTAATTCCATTAAATCTGAGGAGAAATGGAGCTAATATGTGACATAATTTTCTTCAGATTTCTGTCTAAAGTTCTGTGTTCCTCCCCTTCCCTACTCCTTACTCTCCCTCTCTCTGCTGTAAAGTCCCAGATTTTGAGTTCTACAAGCATCAGCTCTTGTTGTTGATGCTGGGGGAAAGGAGCAGAGACTGATGATTCTCCAAGTGCGTTTACAATGCTGTCATGCACTTACTTACTCTCGACACCACTGGAACTCATCACTTCTGCTCTTTCCTTATTACGCCGGTGCTCTCAGAATAGCGAATAGTCTGTGAATTCCTATCTATAAATTAATGGACTTTCAAAACAAAACAACAACAATAAAAAAACTAATCTAACATTTTCCTTAAAAAGATGTTACTTCCTCCTCATAGTGAGCTCAATGGACTGGGCCCCCTTGCTCGGTAGTAGCCCATACTTCTTTAGCTAATAGCAAAAGACTAATACTCTGACACACTCCATTGGGTGTGAGAGCCTCTTTTTCTAACACACATGTGTGGGTTTGCCTGGTCTTTCATTCATCCATCCAACCTGGAGTAATGAAGGGAATAATCTCTACCTTATTACTAGTTGGTTTAGTATCAGAGACCAAGAAAAGGAGTTTCATGCATTCCAACCTTCAAGGCTGAGAGTTTGAAGAAGTACCCCAGTCCAGTGGGACTTTACTTGCCCCTAGAAGACCCAGTGGTGTCTAGTTGAAGGCTTTCATGTCAATTATGAAGGCATTCCTGGAATGACTGACCATCTAAACAGAGCTTGCTGAGAAATGGATCACCTTGGGCCTGCAGTATGGCATCATCCAAATCTTCTTCTAAAGAATAGGTGAAATATGCGAGAACAAGAAGAGTAACGTCTGTCTTGTTGGCCACTGTATTCCCACCTCCTAGTACCCAGCAGGCAAGAAATTATTGTGTAGTAAATTGTAAATGACCATTTCTGTCATGGTCTGGATACTATGACTTGAAAAAGAGGACCCAGGAAAAGTAAATTTGTGTAATGAGTGTAAATGAGTGTAAATAGAAAAAAATTAGATTTAATATCATTTCTATCCTTTTGTTACTTCTAGGAGAAACTGAATTTCTTAGCTTGGTCTATGAAACTAGCTGGCTGGCTGTGTCTATGTATGCCATACCCCTCTACCACCACCACCACCACCACCACCACCCCCTCCCATGTTAGTCTTCCACGACAGGGTTCTCCTTAGCCTTTACTCTTGAAGCCCTGTGTCCAATCATCAGCCCTCAGGGAATCTTCCCAGTCACCTGCAACTTCACTTCATGGACCTGTGCATCCTCCTTTGTAGTAGTCCATAGGTCTTGTGCTCATTTCTCTGATTATTTTTACAACATCTACCTGACTTGTTTCACAACAAAGCCTATCAGGTCAATCCTAAAACCTGGTATGTAGTAAGTAGTTAAACAGTTAAGATTTGACAAACAAATAAGAACTAGGGTAGGGATGAACTAAGAGCAGGGATTTTCATAACTGGTGTCCATTAATGAGGTTTTTTTTATTGTGAAAATACTGTATAGAGGGGTTACAATTACATGGGCAAGATAATGAGTACATTTCTTATCAAGCATTGTAGCCTCCTCCTTTGTTTCCCTTTCCCATCCTATCCTCCCCCACCTCCCCCCACCCAACCCTCTTCCCCCCCCCACCAAAGTTGTAAAGTTCGTTTTCGACATATGACTTGTATGTCTCATTGTTGCAATGAGTCCACCGTATACCTATTTAAACGATTTGTTTTTCCCTTCCCCTCCACAAATTATAACAACATCAAATACCGTGAAAGCAGGGGTTATACCATGGGGGAGGGACATACAAAGCAACAAAGAAATAATCTTATAAATGTGTTAGAAACAATCCCATGAAAGAAAAAACTTTTGAATACATATCTTATGGTTCATTTCCCTAACATCAACTTATCTGACCTTTTCTGCTTGACTCAGACATATACTAGATATTGCAAATAAGGGAAACCATGGGACCTATATTTCTTTGGACCTGGCTTACTTCACTTAATATAATTTTTTCCAAGTTTTTCCATTTCCTAACAAATGGGGCAATGTCATTCTTTCTGGTGGAGGCATAGAATTCCATTGTGTATATATACCACATTTTCTTGATCCAATCATCTACTGAGGGGCATTTGGGTTGGTTCCATATTTTAGCTTGGTAAATAAGGCTGCAATAAACATAGTCGTGCTGGTAGCTTTAGTGTGGTCTTGTTTGTGAACATTTGGGTAAATGCCCAAAAGTGGGATTGCTGGGTCATAGGGGAGCTCTATGTGGAGTCTTTTGAGGAACCTCCATACTACTTTCCAAAGTGGTTGAACAAGTTTACACTCCCACCAACAATGCAGTAAGGTTCCCTTCTGTCCACATCCCCTCCAGCATCTGTTGTTTAATTAGAGTTCTTGATTATAGCCATTCTAACTGGGGTGAGGTGGTATCTCAATGTTGTTTTGATTTGCATTTCTTTTATGGCTAGAGAGGTTGAACACTTCTTCATGTGTCTATCATTAATGAGTTTTACAGCCTTGAAATCTGTAAGGTGTGTGTTTGTGTGTGTGTACATGGAATGCTTGCATGGTTTCTTTTTTTTTCTTTTTTACTAGGGAAGGGGGTGCTGGTCCTATGGCTTGACCTCTGGGCCTGGGCACTGTCCAGAGCTTTAGTACTCAAGGCTAGCTCTACCATTTGAGCCATAATTCCACTTCTAGCTTTTTGGTCATTAATTGTCTCGTGGAATTTCCTGCCCAAGCTGAGTTTTAACCATGACTCTCAGATCTCAGTCACCTGAGTAGCTAGGATTACAGGCACAAGCCACCAGCACCCAGCATTTGCATGGTTTCTAAATGGAGAGGCCAGAGCTGTGGATAGATTGAGTATCCTTAAGGGGCTTTACTTGATTGATATGGAGAGCAGAGAGAAAATTGTATAGGGATAGAAATATACAGAGAGAGAGAGAGAGAGAGAGAGAGAGAGAGAGAGAGAGAGAGAAGGGAGATGTCTGCTCATTTGCTCAGGCTTAATTCTAAATATGAGTGTCAAGGAAGAAAGTTTAAGCATCAGTTCCAGTTCCCTTTTGCTCCCCCAATTCCATTTGGTGCTGACATACTCTCAGGTGTCTCTACCTGTCAATATCCAGAACTCCAGAACCTTCTGGAATTTTCTGCCCACCCCCTGACAAAATCTACTTTTCTAAGACTTTTTTCCTGTGGCTAAAGTGTCCAATGTAAATCTGATTACCAGTTGTGAGCTTAGTTTAAAACAATGACTTTATGCCAGGTGCCAATGGCTCATGCCTGTAATCCTAGCTGCTCAGGAAGCTGAGATATGAGGATCACAGTTCAAAGCCAGCCTGGGCAGTCTGTGAAAGTCTGTGAAACTCTTATCTCCAGTAAATCACCAGAAAACCAGAAGTAGTTGCTGTGGCTCAAGTGGTAGAGTACTTGCCTTGAGCAAGCACTACCAGTGACTCCTTATCATGGCTTACAAGAAATCAGTGGGGACAGGACCGGTTCCTTATTCATGAAGGGACCTTCCTTCCACCCCCGTATTCAGAAGGATTAATAATAGAGCTCCTGCGTTTCTCTTACCACTCTCTTGCTTTTGTCCACAGGCGATCTACAAGATGGTTTCCTCTGTGATGAAAATGCCTGAAGATGAGTCAACCCCAGAGAAAAGGACAGAGAAGATCTTCCGCCAGATGGACACTAACAGAGATGGTAAGGGGTAGAGGCTGCTCAACTTGGCCCAGGTTGGGGCTGCTGGGGAAGTCCTGACAGGGAAATGCTACTTAGAAACAAAGTGTCCGCTGCAAGAACCTGTCACCCTCTGCAAGAGTGGCCCATCCACATGGCCCTGCTGGGTGGGAAGGAGAGAACTAGGGTGGCCACTGGATTGCTGATCCCAGTCCACAGGGAAGTACCTTACTTTCAGCCCTTCTCTCTTCCTTCTAAGTCATTTTCTACCCCCATCCCCAAAGGATAGATCTTGTGGAGCAGAAGGAAAAGGACTCAAGAAACCACTATTAGCACAGCACAGTCCTCAGGAGAGGCCTTGGCCTAACACAATGGATCCCTGCAGCGAGTTAGTTTACCAGGATTTGGGAGAGCTTGTTACTCCTAAGGAACCGGCAGCTGTCCAGTGGTTTTACTGGTGTCTCTGAGCATGCTTAAAAGGCTAAGACAAGAGAACTCCCTTATGCATTGGGGATGGTGGAAGAGGTTTGGTGTGAATGCCAAGAAGGGGATGCAAAGCAAACAGAAGTAAAAAGGAACATTAGATTTCAAACACAAGGACAAGCGGGCTGTAGTCTGTAGTCTCAGTACTAGGAAATTAGAAGCAGGAGGAGTTCAAAGCCAGCTTAGGTTCCATGGTGAAATCTTGTCTCAAAACTTAAAATATTATAAAAGGAAAGGACAGGACAGGACAGGCAAGGAAAAGAGGAAAAAGAAAGACATGATTTTTAGATGTTAGGTTATCAAATAGAATGCAGGAGACTCAAATAACTGAATTTAGAAAAAAAACAAGGAATTTTTTTATGAGTATGCCCAAGGCAATATTTGGGACATACTTATACTAAGAAATTCTTTGTTGCTTCTCTGAAGTTCTAAGTTACCCAGATATCCCTTTTTATTTGTCAAATCTAGCAACACTATTTTTGATATAGGACTGGAGTTCAGTGTTTTAAGCTTATGGCTTGGCCAGTCACAAGCTCTTTAACTCTTGCTGTCATTACCAGCTCACCCGTTCTGCTCAAAGTGCTCAGCAACTAACCAGTTAATTAATTATTGTAGGATTACAGTTTGAACTCAGGTCCTTACACTTATTAGACAAATGTCCTACCATTTGAACCATCCTTCTAACCCTTTCTGCCTTAATTATTTTTCAGATAGAGTCTCAAGTTTTTGCCTGGGGCCAGCCTGGAACTGTAATCCTCCTTTTATGCCTCCTGAATTTAGTTGGGATCCTAGGTGTGAGCCACCATATCTAGCTTGTTCTTTGAAATAAGGTTTCCCTAACTTTTTTTGCCCAAACTGCTCTCAAACTACCATTCTCCTATCTCTGCCTTCCAAGTTGCTGGAATCAGATGTCAGCATGCTCTGTACAACAGGCACATGCAGCCATGTGTCCCATGGGAGGCTGAAAGGCAGAACAGTAGTGGGGTGTCAGGGCCTCTTTTTGTACCTATGTGTGGGCATCAGCTGCCTGAGAATCTGGATTTGTGTTTCTTCCATAAAAGTGCATGACATCCTTTTATATCCTGTTTCCCCCATACCAAATAGCTTGGTGTTTTGCAAAGATTTCACAAACATGAAGCTATTTGAATAATGAACGTGTTAAATTGCAGCTTTCCTGGTGCTCTGTCTGAGGCCTGCCTCTTTAGAATAGGGATAGAAGATGGGAGATTTACCTGGGATAAACACTGGACTGCAACTGGTCACAGGAAATGGTAGAGCCTTCCGTTGGGACTCAGCTACTCTGAGGTCAATGGGCCTGACTAGGTTAGCATTCTCAGAGAGTGACTGCTGAGAGTCCTGGGCTTTCCAAATAAAATATATGTGTTTAGAGAAAAGGGGAGGAGGGAAGCTGGATGCCAATGGCTCACGCCTATAGTCCTAGCTACTCAGGAGGCTGAGATCTGAGGATCACAGTTCAAGGCCAGCCCCAGCGAGAAAGTCTGTGAAACAGTTATCTCCAATTAACCGCCAAAAAACCAAAAGTGGAGCTGTGGCTCCAGTTCAAATCCCAGGACCAGCACAAAAATATTAAATTAAAACTGTAATCTCAGCCACTTGGGAGATAGAGGTAAAAAGTCAAAGTCTGAAGAAGGCAACATATTCTAAAACAAAAGAGACTCATTTGTTTCCCCAGACAAAACAAAACAAAACCAACAAAATACAGGAAACTTGGAAGAGCTAAAAGCAGAAGGACTGTCCAGGTTCTTGCTGACTGACCTGCAACCCAGCTGTTGAGGAGCAGAGACAATAACCAGTCTCTGAGAGGGTGGGTGGGGTGCTGCTCTCTACCGGGGAAGGCCACCGTGCCCCCTCCATGCAGTGGGAAAGGTGTGAGGTCATGCAGGTGCCACCAGCCACCACTTACCCCTTCTCTTCCCTCCTAGGAAAACTCTCCCTGGAAGAGTTCATTCGAGGAGCCAAAAGCGACCCCTCCATTGTACGCCTCCTTCAGTGTGACCCCAGCAGTGCTGGCCAGTTCTGAACCTTCCCACGCCACGAATCCTAGAGCTTCTTGTGTTCCCTTTTGATTCTTCTCTTTACTTTGTTGTTATTGTTGGTTTTCTGGGTTTTTGGGGGGGTTTCTGGGGGTTTTTTTTGCCAAACAATATCGATGGTGACACTGTCTCCTGTGCAGTCAGATGCTTCTTCCTCTGTAACTCCCTCACCTGCAGCTGCTCTCATCGTGGACGCTTCATGGGAATGCCCAGAGCCTCACTGCACTTGTGGGAAGCATGAAAAGACTCTGTGGTGTTTGTCGTTCAGTGACTTCAATTGTTGTGTTTTTTTTTTCTTTTGATTCTAATGTCTTGGTTCTGAAACCTAAAACTCTGGGGAAGGGCCAAGCAAAGGGAATTGTATGCAGCCCGGTGCATTGATTTGTTGAAAGTTTCCAGGAGTTTTGTTGGAAAGATGAAATTCCCCAGTTGGGTCTGTCTATACATATTGTAGGGACTGAAATGGCACCCGAGGCTGGAATTCCCAAGAACAAGGTATCCTTTGGGGTGAAGCTATTAAAAACAGGTTGGGATGTTTGCACTTCACCCTTCACCCCAACAGGCTGTAGTTTCTAAGCTGTGAACATTTCAAAGTAGATGAATGGAGGAGAGAGAAAAGATGGCTCAGCTATTTTCTCAAGGTTTACATTAGTTGAGCTAAGATGAGTTTCTTTGGAAATCAAACACAAAAGGCAATGTAGTCCCAGAACCAGATCCATTTGTTGCCTCTTGTAATTTCAAACAACAACAACAGAAGACTGCTGTATATAAAATATTGGGTATTACAGACCAAATTAAGTGTTTTGCCTTGTAAATGCATGTTTAGTGAGCACTAATACAATCTTATTATGGAAGACTGTTTTTAGTAGCTTATTGTTAAGTAAGCCAACTATAATGAATGTCTGTCTTGTTTTAAAGTCATATCTTTGTACAAATGTACCAGTCAACAAGCATATTTTATATATTCCATCAAAGTAGGACCCAACTTTGATCTGAGGCGCTTTTCTGGAGTTACAGGGCAGGTTACAGGGATGATGACAATTGGAGCACCAGGAAGTTGACATGGCTGAGAGTAGCCAGGCTGGCAGTGTGCCAGCTCAGCCTAGCAGCCCTTTGGTAGCATGACATTGGAGGTGTGGTTGTTTTACAAGCAGATGTATACTCCTGAGACATGAAAATATAGCTGAAGTCCATAAGGACTGCTCAGTGATGTAGCCCACGTTCTTAATGAAGAGTCATAACTTGACAAGTTCAGAGGTCAGGCCTTTGCCATCATAAGGCGGAAAGAGGAAGCATGTCTGTGTTATCTAAGGCCCACTGTGGGGCACCCAACAGTTAGTTCTGATCCTTGTGTTCTGTGAATGTAGAAGTAATATCACACGTTTGGGCTGGTCACCACACACACACTTATTTCAGTTGAGGATTGAGAGTAAAAGCTGCTAGTTACAGGCAAGTCAAGCAGTTGGCCTGGGGAGACCCAAATTCTCAAGGATGTAGGTATGGGGAACCTGCTTCAGAGAAGGCAGAGAGGAGGGCTGGGAAGGCCCTGGGTTCGATTCCTCAGCACCACATAAGAAAAAAGCCGGAAGTGGCGCTGTAGCTCAAGTGGTAGAGGGCTAACCTTGAGCTGAAGAGCTGAGGGACAGCGCCCAGGCCCAGAGTTCAGGCCCCATGACCGGACCCCCCCCCCAAAAAAAAGAGAAGGCAGAGAGGCCCCCAAGGCTCCATCTACTGCCAAGCCACTTTCTATAGAACAGGAACCACAGAAAGATAAAAACAACTACACAGAGAGTGAGGCTGTGTCCATTCCGACCTCCAGATACCTGTGTATGATTTGAGCCCATTCTAAGAGGTAACAAAAGTCCAAATTTGTATGATGAGCCCAAAATGAACAAACTTGTAGAGTACAACTTTGAACCTTGGGCTCAATGATCATAATCTGCCTTGGAGTGTCAGTTCCTCATGTTCTATACCAAAACCTGCCAAATTCTTCTCTAGGTAAGGTTTGCTTTTGCAAAATAAGGAATTAATCTAAGAGTAGAGAGGGGAAGAGAAACGCAGCACATTCAACTGCTGGAGTTCGGGAGTTACTTCCAATTTTTCCTAAACCGGACTGAAAACTTAATTCTTCCTTTTACTTCTTTTCTACTGAAGCCAGTTAATGTTGGAGAAACCTGCCTGGGCTTTGCCCTTGGTCATGACATCTAGCTGAGCCTACTGTGTGGCTCACACCTATAATCCTAGCAACTCAGGAGGCTAAGCATTGAGGACTAAGGTTCAAAGCCAATCTGGACAAGAAAGCTTGTGAGACTTTTATCTCCAATTAAGCACCCCCCCACCCCAAAAAACAAACCCAGAAGTAGAGCTGTGGCTCAAGTAGTAGAGCTCTAGCCTTGAGGAAATAAAGCTCAGGGACAGTGCTCAGGTCCTGAGTTCAAGCCCTAGGACTGGCACCAAAAGAAAATAAAAGGAGTCAATGCATGTCTAATGCCCCTAGAAGGTACAGTTTGGATACTGACCAGTCTCTGTTTTTCCAGGGATGTTCTTTTTCCTTTTCTTCCTTCCCAGGAAGGCTTTAAGTATGTCTTACCCAGTGCATTCAAAAGTAGCCAAGGTACTGTACAACACCCAGAAGGCTGACTGCCTGAAGGTTCCTAGTGCTCCTGTACTGGACTATTAACCATCCTTGCTGCTCAGAGACTTCTGGAAGTGGACTGTTCAGTGGTGAACCAAGGGACATGGCTTAGGACCTGAAGGATGCTACAGAACACTCAACTGTTCACACCTCAGGGTGAAGAGGTGCTGCAAGTGCTGTCCCATCCCAGCGATATGCCCCATGGGGTCTTTCCACAAGTGGATTTAATGACCATATATATATATATGTATATATATATATATATTATAAGCAGCCTCATATCAGTTGATTTTGTGTAGCTCTTGCCTGGCATTAAAGCATGTTTATTGTTTAATATGGTTGTCCTGAATGTGATATTTTCCTGACTTGGGTCTTAGTGAGGCTGCAGATTTGGGTTTGGGGTACTGTTTCTGCCTATAGAGATACAAAGAACCTCGGTGGGTAGGAAGAGGGACAGGAGAGCGCACTCAGCCCAAAACTCTATCCCAAAGCCTCCTCCGTGTACATATGATTCCTTACTTCCCTCTGATATTACTCTCACTTTCTTCCTGCCTCCTTGCCTTTCACAAACTGGAATCTGAACATTAGGCCCAGCTGGAGAAGCTGAAGCAAACTTTGTCTCAGTGGGATCCAGGTAAGTCTAGGGAAATTAATAGTCCTCTCCCCTCCCAGCTCAGTCTGAGAGGACTCAGCGGAAGAGAGGACACAATGCCACGCCTAAACCTCTTCAGAGCTTTCTGTGTTTGTGTTTTCAGCCTTGTTACTTTCCCAGAAGGCCAATACTGGCAGAACAGGGGGCTCAAACTTGCTAACTTGTGTTAGCTTTTATAGGCCCCTTCAGGCCAACCTGACCACATACAATTGGTCTGTAAAGACCAGCACTGGCTTGCCGTCAGCTGCACCTGATGCTCCTAGTCTACAGCATCTTCTCAATGTCCTGGCCCAGCTGAGTCCCTTCTTAGCCTATTCAATATGGCAGAGACTTACCACCCAAGGGGGTGGTTAGTCCCTTAGGCAAGGCAGAGAGCTCCAAGGACTGTCCTATGAAGAAATGGAGATGTTCTCCAAATGCCCCTGGACTTTGCTAGGACTATGCTCACCACTTTCCCCAAAGTTGTAGATTTTTAGGTTATTTGAAGCAACAACAACCAAATGAAGTCCTGGAGCCCTGTATTTCCTGATTCAGAAGCACATCAGTCAAATAAAACAGGAAGATAGATGGATGTGAGATGAAGAGGGACATTTATGTCCAGGACATTCCCAGTTATTTGTTCAGTTATAGGATTTTCTTAGGCAGGTGCTGGTGGCTCACACCTGTAATCCTAGCTACTCAGGAGACTAAGATCTGAGGACCACAGCTCACCACCAGCCTGGGCAGGAAAGCCAGTGAGAGACTCTTCTCTCAAAATTAAACACCAAAAAGTCAGAATTGAAGCTATGGCTCAAGTGGTAGAGCACTACCAAAAAGCTCAAGGACAGCGCCAGGCCCTCAGTTCAAGCCCCAGGAAAGAAAATATTTTCTTCAGTTCAGTGCTGACTGCATGCCCACATCCTGGGAATTTGCTGTCTGTGTTAACATGCGATGCTCAGTCTCAACAGTCCCAGACATTCCTGAGGATGCTAACAATATTACAACGCAGGGCTATTACACAGCAGCGTGGCCAGCGTCATGGTGAAGCTTACGTCATCACTTCTTTTCTCAACACTCCTCCAGGAAGTATCTGGGATTTTAGTTCTCTGAAAGAAATGGTGAAAACACTTCAAATCCAGGGCAGCTGGAACTGCCAACCCAACCCTTAGTAAATACCTCATACTTAATAATACCTTAGCCACCAGTACCCACCAGGCAGGCAGGCAAGCAGACAAATCTCTCTCCCTCGATGCCTCCCCTCACCCCCTGCCCCCACCTTCCCAGTAGCAGTATTTTGGCATTCATCCTGCTCACATGCTCAATGGTGAGCCTGAACTAGTACTAAGCACGACAGTTTTGGCATTCTGTGGCATGTAGACATTATTAAGCCAAGGGTTGATCTGGAAGGGACACTTAGCTTAGCTGGAAACTTCTGTCCAGCCCTGAACACAACTGCAGAGAAGTTTACCTCTGCCTGATGGCAAAGCAGAAATGGAGTTCTTCTACCTGAGTGGTATGAGATGGATGTTTGCTGCCCAGGGAAGAAATGGGTGAGTGTTGTCATTGGCTGCTTTTCATCATGTTTCCCCCCCCCCAAGTCTGCAATATCAATCCATGCACCCATTTATAGAGGTTTTCTGGTAAATCCCTGAGGGACAAGGGGCGTATGCTATTAAGGTGATGGTCCAGGAAATGCCCTGGGGGCGGGGAGGGCTTCACACATGGTAAGCCTAATTCACCAAACTGCACTGTGGTGGCCACAAGCCAAGGGTAGGGGGATGTAGAAAGCCTTTGCATCCCTAGCACAACCTACTCAGGCAGATTTGAAGAATAGGCAGACTTCCTCATGAGGTGGTAGGACACAGATTGTGATTAAAGCTTTGTGGCCCATTTCAAATTCCATGATTTCTCCAAAAGACTACTCAGTCAATAATGCAGCTACTCTTTTCCCGCTTCTGGTTCAGGAGTGGAGGCCACTGGAGGTCACTGGGGGTCGGGTCAGTCAAGGGCAGGCTTGTTGAAGGCAAAGCATTAGCTGGATTTGAAAAGCTGAGGACATGGGTAGACAGAGAAAGGGAAACAAAAGAACACAGGTCTGTTCATTGCTTGCAACAGATGCTCTCAGGAGGTCCTCACAGACAATAGTTGGAGCAGGTGGGAATGGCACTGCACCCCAACAGACAAGGATGATGCTTGCTGGTGTGGGTTCCAGGGTAAGAGCATCTTATGAAATGGAGGTTTAAGCCATGTGGTTTTTAGCCTCTAACACAGAAGTTGGCCCAGAGAAACTAAAAGATTTTGAGGAGGTCAAGGGAGGGCCAGGGAGACTGGAAGTAAAGACAGAAGTGGGAGGGCAGAATCTGCTCCAGCCTCAGGGATGGGTCAAAACAAGACACATCTTGGGCCAGGTGTGATGGTACACACCTGCAGTCCTAGCTACTTGGGAGATGGAAGTAAGAGAGCTAAAGTCCCAAGCTGACCTATGCATAAGTCTTGGACCCTATCTGAAAAATCTAAAAAGCCAGAAGAGCCAAGTACCAATTCTCACTACTCAAGAAGATGACATTTGAGGATCATGGCTCAAAGTGAGTCTGGCAGGAAACTCTGGGACAGTCATATCTCCAATTAATTACCAAAAAAGCCAGAAGGGAAGCCGTGGTTCAAGTTGTAGAGCTCTGGACTTGAGCAAAACAGCTTGGGAGAATGCCCAGGCCCTGAATTCAAACCCCAGAACCAGTGCACGCACACACGCACACATGCATACTCACACGCACACACATGGAAAAGGACTGGGGTTGTGGCTCATCCTTAGCAAACACAAGGCCCTGAGTTCTAATCCCAGTACTACAAAAAGTGTGTGTGTGTGTGTATGAGAGAGAGAGAGAGAAAGAGAGAGAGAAAGTAGAGAGAGAGGAAGAGAGCTCGAGCAAGGCACCCACCCTGGGAGCCTGCAAAGGGAACACCTGAACCTTCTTTCCCCCTTCTCTCTTAAGATCAAAGGGAGGTGAGGAAAAAGTACCTTGAAGAGCAAATTGCTGCTCTGTTACAGCCCCGGGCTCTGGGTGCTAAGGAAGGCTGAAATTTTCTAAGGTCATACCAAGACTTTCTTCCATTCAGGCAAAGAGTTCCAACTCATACAGAAAACACCAGACACTGTTGTTTCATTCTTATGTTATGAATATTTATTTTTCTTCTTAAAAATGTACAAAAAATAAAATAACTGTATTTATAGTTTATAGATTCCCCTCTCCCATTTACAAAACTATTAAGTTACATTTATGTTTTTTTTGTTTATGTGGGAGAATACATATGAATATATATATATATATACACATATACATATATATATATATATATATTCAGTCTCCCCTTGCATGTCTTTGAGAAAGGCCATTCTTAGAATTTGGCACAAAGCCTCTATTTCAGTTACAATTTCATGATTCTTAAATACAAAGGTAAAATAAATGTTTCACTCATTTCCTGTTTCCCAAGTTTCTGGGCTAGGAAGCTCCTTAGTCTTTGAGGAACCAATTTGCAGATACCAGACTGCACATTTCTGTTGATTTCAATGTTTAAACATCGGAAAGGTTTAAACAATATGTCATTATAAGAAAAAATAACTTGCTTCACATGTCTGCTGCTGTCTTTTATGGATCATATATTTTCTAAAAGCTTATTATTTATTTGGGTATGATTAACTCGAGGGACAGAGTAGATGTGGCAAGTTTCCTTCTTTTGCTGGAGTGTTTTTGCTTGGGAAATTTTGCTCATAAAGCCCTGCTAACATACACAGTGAAGGACAGACACTTGGAAGTTAGCCACAAAGTGCTCTGAGAAGGCAGAGGGCATAGATTCATGGATTTGACACTCTGTATCCCCCTTTGATGGCATTGATTGGCCTTACATCCTTGGTTCTAGCAATGGTCACCACCCTGACTACTTAGGAACTTAGGACAAAGGCATCTCTGGTTCATCTTCTGCCTTAGGGTAAGCTCAGCAAATAGTTTTTAAAAAAAAATAGCTGGAGTGGTAAGAGTCAGTAGCCTGTGTCAAGCTGCCACACATCTGCCTTTTCCCTACTCTGGAATTCTGTGGCCTAGATTGGTCTACCAACTCTGTTTGAAGCTATAGATAACCCAAGGAGCACAAGCAGTGTGTAGTATGTATATTTCCCACACTGTATTTGTCTGTCTTAGAACAAAACAGAGCCCTGCTAGTACCCAGGATGGTCCCCAGGGGTAAGGGTGCTGAGCCAGGGTATGGCGATTGGAGGAGAGGAGGAAGCAACAGACTGGAGCAGAGTTGAGCCTCAGATGCAACCCTTGGTGCCATGGGGGTGGTTGGTAGAAAGGGTGGGGGGTGGGGGGGGCATATCCAGAGGACACACGGAAAGGCGCCCCCTTAGGTGTCTTCAGGGTCCCGTTGGTGTGGCACCTGGTTTCCATTCTGTTCAATTCCTCTGAAGTCTCAAGGCACTAAACCAGACTATAGTGTAGTGTTCTCTCTCTCTCTCTCTCTCTCAGGGACTGGACCTCAGGGCAGGTGAGATAGCTGGACCTCCATGTAAGACATCAAAGTGCTTTACGAACAAACGTGGACCCGAATACATGGATTCTTTCCTAGATCCTGGCCTTGGAGTAGGAGGTGCCTGGCTACCACAAGTGCTTCAGCCCTTAGGGGCAACACCCACCCTATATCACCTTCCTGCCCCCTCAAAGGGAACAGCAGCCCAACATGTTGCTTCTTTGTGACAGTTCAGGGCAGTTTTTCTCCTCATCTCCCAGGGCGTGTAGCAGCAGGACAAGGCTTTCTCTCTCCCAGCCTGCAGCCTGCTTCTTTGCTTTTCTTTTTGAGCCAGTACTAGAGCTTGAACTTAGTGCCTCTTGCTCTCATTTGGCTTTTTTTGCTTAAGGCTGGTGCTCTACCATGCGAGCCACACCTCTACTTTTGGCTTTTTGCTGGTTCACTGGAGATAAGTGTCTCTCAGATTTGTGTGTCCAGGTTGGCTTTGAACCATGATCCTCAGATCTCAGCCTCCTGGGTAGCTAGGTTTACAGGTGTGATCACCACCAGCTCCTGTCCCCAGCCTGCTTCTTGAGGCTGGTTTCAGAAAAGCAGATGCTCACAGGGCTTTCTCACTCTCCCTCTAACTCCAGAAAGCAGGGGTTCAGGTGGCTGAGTCCTCCCTTTCCAGTCTCCAGGCACAAGAGGAAGCCTGGCTTGCCGCTCAGAGCTGAGCTCCTGGGGCGGCACTCAGCACTGCCGATGGGCTTTCAAAGGATCCACTTGAGATGAAGGATGTGCTTGTAAACTGTGAGGCCCTCCCCAGTGTCCAGGACTCTCACCACGGCTAAGCAGTTCCCAGCAGAGCCCCATCCCCAGAGCCCCAGGGCAAAGCCCCTACAGTCTTTCCAGGGAGTTCATGCATTGCCTTTACCAAAGCTGCAGAATCAGCTGAACTTCTGTCAAGACAGCTTGAAGGAACAGTCCAGTGAGGCATCATATCATGAGATAAATGCAGCGATCTGCCCGAGGCATCCTATTCTCTGGGGACAAGGGACCAGGCCTCAGATACACCCAAGGGAGAATGTATCACGGCACCACCATAGTCACTTGAGACTCCAAGGCCATTTCTCTAGCCTGGGTCCGGAACAGGTGCAGCAACAACAGCTCTAAGTCTTCATGTCTGTGCCTCCCCTTGGCCCGTGGCAGCAAACCTGCCCACATGCCACAGGCAAAATATATTATTGCAATATTATAAACACTATGTACATGATCGCCAGGCACACATTCTGTGTTCTTGACTGACTCCATGGTAGCTGAATGTCTTCATTTACAAGGCCTGGTGGCCACTTGCTGGAGGTATTTAGCAAAATGACCTTCGTCAGAACAATCTGAAGGGTTTTGACCAGTTTCAACGTTGTCCACTTCTGTGCTCACCTGTGACAGCTGCACAAGAAGCAGCTCCTTCTGTCCATGCACTCAAGGACGTGAGCGGGTAAGAAAGAAGTGGCCACTGGTCAGGTTCTTCGAGATGAATAGACTAGTTTGCTTCCCTTTAAGGGGCGACTCTGGAGGGTCTCCTATGGAGCCAGCAGTGGCCTTCAGAGTTCTGATGGGCAATAAATAAGGACCCCACAGGCCCAAAGCAATCTACTGAGAGACGCAGCCTTTGGCTCCATGGAGAAGCAGGTGGAGGGTCAATCAGACTGACAACCAGAGGGACCAGAGGCCCTGCCCGCTTTCCAGCAGTCTTGTAACAGCACTTGTAGGATGGGTGAGGTGGGTCTCTGAGTTCTGGGGTGATAGGGATCCCCATCTCTCCCAGGGAAGAATGTATTCAGAACTCCTGCCAGTGAATGCCAATCCTAGGGCTCAGATCTCCATAAGTGTGATCTTGAAGCCTTCCACCATGCTCTCCATGTTGAGGATGAAGGTGTCCTCATTGGAGTAGTGCTCAATGATGTTGTCGTCCATGTTCACCAAGATGCTGCCACGGGAGGGACAGAGCAGGGTGGGGTGGAGAGAAGAAGAAATACTGTGAACAGTGGGCTCACTGCAAGGGTGGGTTCAGGCTGGGGTACTTGGTGCCCCCCTCCCCAAGTAGGGGCTAGGAGGGAGAGAAAGAAAACAAGGCAGAGAAAGGTTCTCATTCTATCTCCTTTGTCCCAAAACCTGGTGGCACAATGCCTGTAATCCTAGCTACTCATGAGCCTGAGATCTGAGATCAGTGTTTTGAAGGCAGTCCAGGCAAGGAAGTCCATGAAACTCTTATCTCCAAGAACTTAACCAAAAGAGCTAAGGGATAGGGAGCTCAGGCCCATGTTCAAGCCCCAGGCCCAGTCCCAATCAATCAATAAACAAATGAAATAAAACTGAGGAAAGCAAGGTTTCTGTTTCATGACTCCTTTTTTTTTTTTCAGTCATGGGGCTTGAACTCTGGGCCTGGGCACTATCCCTCAGCTCTTCAGCTCAAGGCTAGCGCTCTACCACTTGAGCCACAGTGCCACTTCCAGTTTTTTGGTGGTTAATTGGAGATAAGAGTCTCACTGACTTTCCTGTCCAGGCTGGCTTTGAACTGCGATCCTCAGACCTCAGCCTCCTGAATAGCTAGGATTACAGGCATGAGCCACTAGCACCCAGCCTCATGACTTCTTATTATATAGAATTTCTGAAATCATTCAACCTGATCCTCTTGCTTTATAGATTAGTAAACTGAGGCTCAGAGAAATGAGCACAGTTAGCTGCCGACAGAGCCAAAACCAAGATAGTTAGGGCCCCTAACTCTTTTCATGAAGCCATATTACACTGCCCTTAGTAGGAAGAATTAAATAAACAAGGATTGCAGCTACCCCTTTTGAACACATAATCCACGGCCACGCTTCAGAGGCCTTGCATTTAATGTCACAGCAATCTTGGAGGTAGATCTTATCAGCATCACTTTGCAAATGAGAAAACAGTCATTTCTCACACAAACAATTGTCTCTTCGAGTTCACCCAGCTAGTGCATGGCTGAGCTAGTCTTGGAAACTTACTTTGCTTCACTCTGAAGCTATCTTGGGTGGACTTTGTTTTAAGAAAACCAACAAATTCTGTCTGTGACTCAGAAGTCCCCAGCTTATGTCAATCTTGGAAGGCAGATAGATCCTGGATTGAAAAAGAATAACTATCAAACTGCCCTGCTTTAGAGGGTTGTTATTTGGATAAAAGCCTTTAGCACTGGGATTGATAGACTCAAGGGCAGTATTATCATCAGCAATGGGTTCATCAGCATTGAGAATTTCTAGTCACCAGCAGGAATTTGAGACATTACTCTAACACACCTGCTCCAGTGTGAGCTTGGAAAGACTTGTAGTATGCATTTTGGTAAGCTTGCCACCAAGAGCTTTCCATCAACCAGTCAGCACACTCAGAAACAGAGAACCCCCAATAATGCTCTACCACTTGAGCCATGGCGCCACTTCCGGTTTTCTGGTGGTTAGTTGGAGATAAGAGTCTCATGGACTTTCCTGCCCAGGCTGGCTTTGAACCATGATCCTCAGATCTCAGCCTCCTGAGTAACTAGGATTACAAGCATGAGCCACTTGCACCCAGCTCCAGACACTTTTTTTAATCTCACTTCTGCCACCCAGAAACCAACACTGTGAGCCACATGAGGTTTCCTTCATTATAAACTTCACTCATTGCAGAGGGTGACCTTGCTATTCTCCCCAGTGTCCCCAAGATCCTTCAGGCCCTTCTAGTCTACCTGTTCATCTTGCCATTGGACATCACTGCAATCTCCTCTGTCTCCCTCTCTCCTCCCTGCCTTCTCCCATTATAGACCTTCACAATGCACAGCATTTGCTGCTCTGCAAATGAAAGATGAAACATCTTTCCTAAAGATGAACAACAGAGATTAAAAAAGGACAGGTATTGTTTAAAAAACAACAACACATACATCGTGTAAGCTTCTCTGATTTCTTACCCTTTTTTGCTTTTCTTGTAAAGTTTTGCTATCTTCTCCACAGGCAGCCCATACTTCTCAGATATCTGTAACACCAATAACAAGAAGGTGTGAGAATCAGAGCCCAAGTGGAGACCAGGGAGGATGTCCCAACTTCGCTCTCTTGCACATTTTTCTGGACACAGCATGATCTTCACTCACAGTCAAATTCCCTGAATGCCTATTTATGAGGTTCCCTCCCACACACGCCTTTGGATAGACCTTAAATCTAGCTCTTGTCTAACTGCAAAACTAAAAGCCAAAAGACAGTGGGACAAGCACCTACAGACTCCAAGAGGGGGAAATAAAATGACTTCACCACATGAATTATATACACCATCTGGAAATCTCTCACTTCTCAAGAAGAAACAATTATCTCTGAGTTCAGAAAGCTTACCCAGGTATTTCATTTGAGGAAAAATAGACAGACAAAAATAATTCTCTCCAGATAGAAATGCATCACAAAGAGAATTGCAATTAGACAAAGGGAGGAAAACAAGCAACCAGTTTTGGGCCATAACCTTCAGAACATATATGTTTACTTGATCTGGAAATACAAATTCTAAATCAGATTCTTGTAGTAAGGACATATGCAAAGGAAAATCTTTTTTTTCCTTAATAAAAATATATTAAGCCAGTTGCCGGTGGCAACTAGCTACTCAGGAGGCTGAGCTCTGAGGATCGAGGTTTGAAGACAGCCAGGCAGGAAGGTCTGAGAGACTTATTTCCAATACACTACCAAAAAGCAGAAATGGGGCTGTGGCTTAAATGATAGACCACTATCCTTGAGCAAAAACAAAAAAAAAAAGCTCAAGGACAGTACCCAGAACTGAGTTCAAGCCCTAGGATGGCATCCAAAAAGAAAAAAAAGTATATTAAACTATGTTATCTGTCAAAATATAGAAGTTAGGCTGGGAAGGTGGCTCAGTGGTAGAGCGCTTGCCTTGTATGCATGAGGCCCTGAGTTCCATTCCCCAGCACCACATAAGCAAAAAAAAAAAGAAAAAAGCCGGAAGTGGCGCTGTGGCTCAAGTGGTAGAGCCTTGAGCTGAAGAGCTGAGGGACAGCGCCCAGGTCCAGAGTTCAGGCCCCAGGACCGGACCCTCTCCCCAAAAAATATATATAGAAGTTGAAGTTTGTGGAGACAAAGAGTAGGCACCTCAATGGGTCCATCCTCATGAAAGAAGGTGAGCGGGAAAGGAGAGAGGAAAGCACCAGAATAATTTTCCACAGTCCCTTAGCCACTGACTGAGAGAGACAGGGTTTAAAAGGAGACCACCTGCAAGTCTGGCTTCAGGTTTTGCACTCTTAGGGAAACTGAACATATGTTGAGACAGTTTAAGAGTGAGATTTATGAACCTCATCCAGTTCATCAGAGCTACTGGCAAAGCTGAAACAGATGCCTGCAGGAGGCGGAGTCCTGCGCTCAATTTAGTTCTCAAAGGTAAAGTCATCTGATGATTCGCCATGTTGACAGGGCATTCTCTGCCTCCATAAAAGGCAAGGAGCCAGGCTCAGTCACATTCAGACCCTGCTAACAAGTAGGACACAGAATTCATGTGGAGGAAGCCAGACATCTGTCAGAAGCTTACCGAGGATTCCTCCTGCCAGACAGAGATTACTTCTGCCCAGGGCTGAATGTGATCACCCAGGCAGGTTCTCTTCTATACATAGAAAATGTGCCTCTAGGGGCAATAGGAGTGCTTTGATTCCCACCCCCCCATCTCCCCATGTTTTTCTTTTCCTTTGGGTAGTGACTGGGATTTGAACTCAGGTACTCATAGTTTTTAATCCTTTTTATTACTTTCATATCATCCTCCTGCATTATTCTTGCTTCAGAAGTGATGCTGCTGGATGGGTAACTTGCCCAGTGTCATACCACTCACAAGTGACAGAAGTCAGAGTTGAACTCAGCGAGTAGATGCAGTTATACACTTCTTGCCTGAATGTTTATCATTACTCGATCGTTTCCCTCCTTGGTTTTTGTGTGACATAAGACTCCTTATTCTCCTTACAATATTTTCACATACAGACAGAACATATTCCTAGCCAGACTTAAGTAAGAGAAGGCTGAAGTTGGCTCCATTACTTGGTGAAGTAGTCAGACCTTGGAGAACACCACACTTGGCCTCAGGTTCCTGATCTGTGGTAGCGATGCTGTTTACTTGCTGAGTGGATAGGGGTATTGTAAGGGTCAAGTGAGTCAGGGCATGTCAAGATCACATACCCAATGCACACATACTCCAGATGCTGGCTGAGGTCAAGCAATAGTGTGCTCAAGGTTCTGGGGATAAACAGCAGATGACAGACACAAAGCTCTAACTTAATGGATTTCAAAATCTATGGAGGATGAAAGAAAACAATGAATATCTACTAAGAATCAAATATGTTGGGAGTAAAATAAAAGAGTACTAAGTGGAGAATGATGGAGATACTATTTAGGTGGGTGGTCTGGAAGGCCATCAGATAAAGTGACATATGATCAGAGACTTAAAGGGAATAAACTGTTCCCTCTTGGCAGAGGGGATAGCACATGCAAAGAGCCTGTGGCAAATTGGTCAGAACCCCTGATTTGTAAGATTGCTAGGTATAATCACTCAGAAATGCTTTAAAAAAGAAAAGAAAATTTTAAAAAGACTTCATGTCATCACCATTACTACCACCATTACTGTCACCAAATCTTTTGCCTTTAAATTTAAAACTTAATTAGAAGAATAAAGAAACAAAAGTAGGCCATAGGTATCAGTGTTGTGTGGACGACAAAGCTGAGAAGAAAAATACCTATTTTCTCCAAACGACTATTCAGTTACATCTGACTTTTGGGGAGAGAACTTTTGTTCCTTTTTCTATCTGGGTGTCTAGATCTTTCTGGATAGTCTAGATCTTTTCTGCCAGATAAATTAAATGTGTGAGAGGTTCAAGAATTATCTGAGATGGGTGCTGGTGGCTCACACCTGGACTAGCAACTCAGGGGTCTGAGATCTAAGGATTGTGTTCAAAGTCCGTGAGACTCTTATCTTCACTTAACCACAAGAAAAATGGAAACAGTGCTGTGGCTCAAAGTGGTAGAGTGCTAGCCTTGTGCAAAAGAGCTCTGAGACAGTACTCAGACCCTGAGTTCAAACCCCATGACTGACACCCCCCCAAAAAAAAGAAAAATCATCTGTCCTACAGAAATTGGGAAAGTGGCCCAGTTCTGTTCTTCTTTGTTGTGGTTAAGTATTCAGGATGCTAAGAGATCAAAGCTGGTACGAATAAGACTATATTTTTCAAGGTAGACCTCTTCCTAGAGACAGGAATCCGGATTTACATGCTAGAGGGCACAGTCCTGCATTACATCAGGAGTTCCCTAAACCACTCTTCTCTTTATTGACTGTACCCATTTTGCCTATGTAGGTACCAGGATCTCGACCCTCACAAAGAGAATACTAAGACAAATTCAAAACAATTATCTCAAGGAAAAGTATCGTGTTTGCTGAGTGTAAAAGCACTTCAATTTCTAGATAACAGAGCTCTTTCCCTGGGCTTATGGTTGTGGGAAATCTGCTGTGGGTACTGTCACCACCTACAACCTGTTCCCAAACCTGCCTGCTGGGGCACTTTCTCACTGAAACACTAATCCGTGCTAGTCTGTCTCTAGATGACAAATCCACACTTCACCAACTGTCAGTACTATTTTTTTTTTTAAGAACAAAATCGAAAAGTTTCAATATGGCTTTTTATACTCCACTATGAATTTCCTTCTATATCTAAGCAATGCCTGGCTGAGGACAGGGCCTCTGGAATCCAACAGGAGAAAACAGAGCAGTTTCTCCACTGGAAAGCAGTCCATGCTTCCCATAACAGAAGCAGCACCATCATCACAAAGGTCATTGCCATCATCTGAAACCTAAAAGCTATGAGGTCATCTTGCCATGGAGGACTCTGTTTTAAGGGTAAGAAGTGGAAGCCAACCAACCTTCAATAACTCATATAAAAAGGAAGCGGGAGAATGTAAATATTGATATAAAGCAGGTGTTCCCACTTCTGAAATAATTTCAGGACACACATACATGGACTTTACCCAAGATATACTTTGACCTTTGGAACTGGAGGTCAGCGGGTCCAGGAAGACTGGGTCCTTCCTCAAAGATACAGCATTTGGCCTACCCAAACCACCCAAGAAGGAGAAAAGTGCCCTGCACCCAAGGCGGATCCTAAACTCCAGAAGTTAAGAAAAAATTAGCATAAAGAGTCACTCCTGGTTTAAAACTATGATTACAGGGATTGGACCTCATGAATACAATGAGAGGGTTTATTACTGTTGTAAGTGAATGTGCGCTTGGGATTTTCCACGAGAATGAGTCCCAGTTTCTGCCAAATCACACTGCAGGCAGTGACCTCACAAACTCTAGTGTTCTTCAACTCAACCCAGGGAACTTATTGCCAATGCTATTCCTGGGCCCACCCCTAGAAAATCTGATTCTGAAGGTCATGGCGGGGGTCCTGGGATGGCATCTTTGAAACATAACTCAGGGACTCTGATAGATCCACTTAGATAAGTAGAACTTGAGGCCCACAGGAAGGAAGAAACCTGTGTTTGTGTTTATAGGAAGCAATTTTTGACTAGTGACAGGCTCAAACGATGGCTTGAGGTCAAGTACAATAACACTTGCTCAAAAGTTATGGTCCTGTTTTGTTTTCTTACTTTCTGATCATTCTTTGTTTTGCTTTTTTCTAGGTCCGAGACTGGAACTTGAACTTAGTCCTGACAGCCACTTTCGCTCTTCGGCTAATGCTCTACTGACTGAGCCACACCTCCAACTCCCTGACCATTCTTTCCATGTAAGTAGCTTTTAGTTGTTAAAACATAAACTTCATGCGTGATGATCTTTTGAAATTAAGAGTTGAAACAAAAATATGGGAGGCCAAGGACACTTTCTTGTTTTGAGGCTATTATTTTCTGTTAGGCCTTGGGACCACAAGGCATATAAATTCATTTTTTGAGAACAGCTCTCTGACCCTGAGTTTCAGAGGTGGCCATGGTCTCTTCATACAACTTCCAGGGTTTCTGAGCAAAGACCAGCACCATGTCCAAAGCTCCCTGCTTCCTCTGACATTTTGAATGAGTAGACTATTACACAATGGAACTGTGACCTAAGATGACATTCATCGTTGGGATATTGAGGAACTGAGTGTTTGAGATATCTAGCGGCGGAGGAGCTGGAAGATGCCCTCATACTGTGTGTTGTCTGGCACTGTTTCCTACTCAAGGTAAAATGGTTCCATTACCACGTTTAATCTATGCCAGGGACACAGTATGTGCCAGGGCCTGGGGAGTCTCGTTTCTATATTGTCTCTTTCAGTCTTCACAATAACCAAGGGAAAGCCTATTTTCTTAAGGTTCTTAACATGTTCCAACAAGTAAGAAGCACAGTCAAAATTTGAACACAGGTTTTCTGAAACCAAAGCTTGTATACTGACCTCTAAGCTATATGCCTCCATGGGTTTATTTCATACAAATACATCTATGATCAACATACATGTACATTTACTAACATACACATGTAGACAATCAGCTTTCTGTACCCACATGCTCTGCAGCCACAGATTCAACCAACTACAGATCAAAAATGTATATATATTTAAAGTTATGTGTGTTCTGAACATGTATAGACATTTTTCTTGCCATTACTTCCTAAATAACGCAGTACAACTCTGAGCATTTAAATTATGTTATCTCTTATAGATTGGGTAGAGATGCTTTAAAGTATTTGGGAGGACATGCAAAGGTTCACTGTAAATATTACACCATTTTATCTAACTGACTTCGGCATCCAGGAAGCTTGGTATTATAGAACCAACCTTGGACATTGAGAGAGGACTACATAATTGTATCGTGTTATATATGTTTATTTTATATAAGCTCATTTGCTTGTCTTCTGACAATTTTATAGACATTTAAAACTTTTTGGTTCACTTGAGGAGATGCAGATCCTATTTCCTGCATTCATTTTCGGGTTTATTTTTCCTTTGCAGGGAGCAGAACTCCATCCCAATGAAAAGAACTATACAACAGAAGAAAAATTTCCAAGCCCAATAAGCCAAAAAAGTGGAAAAACCCAACATCCATCAGTTACAGAAGTGAAAATAAAAGATGGTAAATCCACACAGTGAAATGTAATTCAGCCATGATAAAGAATGATATGTTGGTCTATACTACAACATGAATGATCATTAAAAAAAAAAAAGAGAGAGATGTAGGGAAGGCAGACAGAGAGGAAGACACGAAGAAAAAAAAGAAAGAGTAAAAGTATGAACTGCCCAGATTAAATAGCAAGACAGTTTTACCAAGTCCCCCTCTTAAGATGCTGCTAAACCCTGGGCCAAGAGATCAGCATCTCCACAGACCTCAGCTTTTCCTTTCTCTCTAGGAAGCTCATTCCGACACCACCTCCATGGCTGCACTGGAATAAATGGGTTTTGCTAAAGAGGACTTGGCTGGAGGCTGACAGGGCTTGTGTCTTACCGCTTCCATCAGTCCTTTCACTGTAGGAGACTTCAGCATCAAAGCATCAAACACGTCGTCCGTCTCCTTCCTCACATACAAAAGCACTGAAAGAGAACAAGATAAGTCATGTGACACAGGCCCAGAATCTGCTTCTTGTTACACAGGTGGCTCAGGCTGACATCACTGATAAGCTTGGACCCCTGTGGGGTCTAGGTCACACTCTATAAGAGTGCCTGAGTCATCCACATAGAGCTCCCATGACTGGGGACTCTTAGGGATTTGACAAGTAAACTAACAATGGGGAAACACCACAGGATGTAAGATGCCTTGACACCCAGGTTCACATGGGAGTTTCTCACGGTGAGTACATCATCTCCCGATGATTTTCCTTTCCTGTTTATTTATTTGGCTGCAAAGGCCAAAGAATCCCTAACAATGGCTTTGGTAATCATTCTGATCAGTCTCTTGAAGAATTTCCGACAATAAATATTGCTGATGACTTACTAGGACCCTAGGCCTTGTAAGCCAGGAGCCAGTAAGTCCTGGCCTCTAGCCTTAAGGGAATGTGTGGTCCACTTCAAGAGGCAGGGAGACTTCACATAACCTAGATGAAGTTATGAGTTACAAAGGAAAACATAGCCTAATTTTGCCAGAGTAGGGGGAGGGAAGATCCAGGCAGATGGCCTTAAGGAGAGATCTGAGTTAGGAAGATGGCAGGGGCATCAATGCCCCAGTGAGAGTGGAAATGGTGGAGATTCTGGCCAGATGGCCAGCAGGGGAACAGGTACAGGAGGGAAATGTGACACCGGCAGGGGAGTGGAAGAAGCAGCTTAGCCCAGATCTCCAGAGGCCAGGTTGGAGCCCAGCTCAGTCCTTGCTACCATTCTAGTCATTTCACCTGTCCCAGCCTGGGTCTTCTGTATGCCACGGGGACACTAGTGTCTATTGCATAGGGTAACGTTAGTGTTCAGTGACACATGGCTTACATGGCTGCTTAGTACCGGCCTGGCACACAACAAACACTTGTCCTCAACTCAGAAGTTGTTAGGAAGCATTTGTGGTCTTAGTGTCTCCACAAGGTGGAAGACAACTCTTCTAGTCATTTCTCTGCAAAATGACGTTCTAAATCTGAGCATGTATAGAGTAAGAGATGGTAGGGACTCCAGGAATCCCTAGAGGTGTGCAAATGGAGCCCAGAGATATCTCCCTGACAGCCACCACTGCCCAGATCATAGCTGTTGGCTGCTGCTCCAAGAAAGGAAAGGAGAGAGAGAAAGGAAGGGAGGGAGGGAGGGAGGGAGGAAGGAAGGGAGGCAAGGAGGGAGAAAGAGATAGGGGAAAGGGGAAGGAGAAGGGCAGAGAGAAGGGGAGGGAAGGGAAAGGAGACAGACTTAAGTACTGCAGTTTCTTCTCTTTATCGAATATAAAAATTAAGTACCTGTTAAATAAGTAGACTGGATATGTCTCCATAGATTTCTAAATTTAGTCCTTTAGAAGGAATATTTTATAGCCTCCATTTCAGCTAAAATGAGTTCGTAACCTACTGGTTATTATAAGAGGACTTGTGGAAAAATAATTAGGAGATAGGATCCCAATTACATCTAGATAAAGGAAATTAAATCCAAGGGGGAAAATTGGCTGTTACAGATGAAAATTCTATGCTTTCTCCCCAAAGCATTCGAGAGAGAAGGGAAAAAGCAATTTCCATCAGGCTAGCCCTAGGAAACCTCAAAGCACATTCTATTAAAGTGAGCCTGGTTACCATCCATTTATAATATCTGCTTTCCAAATCAGTGTCTTTGCCACACTTGCTTGTGGCACGGCTGGGAAGTGCTGAAGGTGCCCTGCTGCTCTGGGGCGGGTGGGAAGGGACACCAGGCGGGCAGTACCATGCTCCCCTGCGGTCTGTTGAGAGTCACACTTGGGTAGGCATGCTGGGCTTACAGCTCACTCCCAGGGGATTGCCCAGGGGGTTGGCTTTCATTAACTCTGCATCTGTGGCAAAGTAATAGTTGAAATCACTCTGCCAAGGTAGTAAAGACAATCATCACACAGCCCAAACATACAGCCAAAGACAGAGAGCTGCACAGCTACCCCCAAGTGACCCTGACAGAGGCTGTAAAGGCCAAACACTCAGTAATGATGGCTTTGGTGATCACTGTGATTGGTCTCTTGAAGAACTTCTGAAAGATGCATGGTAGGAACTGTCATTGACCCAGATTGTCAAATGTAGCTCAGAGTAGGAGCACTAAGCCAGGAGTGGGTTAACTCCTCTGTCCTTTTCCACAAAGAAGCTACTATCTTTGGAAGGAAAGTCACTCCTAGGAGATGTGTCCTTGCTGCTGGTGGGTTACTGCACTCTCCTGTGTCACTAGGACTTAGTTGTTTCAAAGGACACAGCTTTACTTTTAATCATACAAGACCATTTCTAGTGGCAGTTTTTGTGCTGGCTTCACAATCTCTGAAATCTCGGGTACTAAATGTGGAGGTAAGCTACAATTATGCATGTCTGTGTCATTCTTAATTTCTGGGTGACTGTGCCCTAATTCTAAAAGTATAGGGTAGAAAGGCATCCAGGAATGGAGATCAGATGTGCTTGACTATTTGATGATGAGCTGTGAGAGACTTTTACAGACTTAAATCTTGCTAACATTCATGCATTTGGGCTCTTTCTATTCTGAAAAAACAATCACTCATATGCAACTAGGATCGTGTAACTTACCAGATACAGATCTAATGTTAAAGTTAACAGCTCTAACTGTGAGCAGGCTGGAGTGAAGTATCTTTTGTATGTAACTCATCAGTCCTCTCTAAAACTCTTGGTGGGGGGGCACTTTGTCACCCACACTTTATAGTTTAGAACTGTGAAGAGTGACAGGATGAAGGTCCTATTCAAGGTCATACAACAAACTCCAGGAGCCTAAGGCAGGGTACAGGAGAGGTCCCTGACAATAATGAAAATCCCATTATAACAAGTAGAGAGAGAGAGAAAAAAAAAGAAATTTCTCAGTAAGAAAAAAATTCATGTTTGTTTAACATTGAGTCTTCTTTGAGTCATTACAAGTCCAGTACAGGGTAAGTCACTGCAACAGGGTGCCAGGGAAATGTCCTGTGAGGGACAACTAGGGATAGTACGGACAGACTGGGTAAGACATGGTGTTCTCAGCCTTCCTTCTTGCCCTCTAGGGGAAATAGAGTGAGATCCTTGACTAAGTACCAGGCACCCATGGCTCATGCCTATATTCTGAGCTATTCAGGAAGCTAAGTTTTGAAGCCAGTCAAGCAAGAAAGTCTATGATCCTCTTTTCTCCAATTCATCCAAAAGCTACAAGCGGAAGTGTGGCTCAAGTGGTAGAACATCAGCCTTGAGGGAAAAAGACAGAGCCCATGCCCTGAGTTCAAACTTTAGTATTAGCACAGTAAACAAATAAGCTAGGTGCTGGTGGCTCATACCTGTAATTCTAGCTACTAAGGAGGCTGAGATCAGTGGATCATGGTTCTATACCAGCTTAAGCAGAAAAATCCATGAGACTCATCTCCAATTAACCACAGAAAAAGCTGGAAGTGGCGATGTGGCTCAAGTGGTAGAGTGCTGGCCTTGAGCAAAAGGAGCTCAGGGACAGTGCTCAGGCCCAGAGTTCAAGCCCCAGACTGATAAAACAAAAACACAATAATAAGAGGACGAGGAGAAGGAGGAGGAAGAGGAAGAAAATAAATCCTTAAATGAGTACGTTGTGATGTCACAGGAAACAGCGGCTCATTTATTTGTGTAAGATTTTTCCATCTATTAAATAATTCTGAATCACTGGTTCCTATGAATTATGACTGTCACGCAGACAGTAAGAGCTTCCTTTTCACCCTGCTGGATGAGTAAGTATCTGTATTTCCCTTCTCCCAAGGCAAAAGAAAGAACCAGTATGCAGAAAGAACAAATCTCATTCAAGAACAAATCTTATTCTTAAAAGAACAGAGTTTAGCACATTGGAGGGAAAAGCCTATGCACTTCCTGTGTGGAGAAAAATTCACCAAGCCCCTCTGCCCTGCTTTCCAAGGAGCCACAGGCAGGTGACACTGTGAGCTCATTGTGGTACAACCCAGCTGGAGAGATACCTCGCTTAATGCCTTCTTCTTTAATTTGCTTAGCAGGTGCCGGACCAAACTCCTCCTCCATAGGCCTGAACATCCGTTTAACAAGGACACTGTTGCTAGAAAAGAAGAGTAGAGATTGTTAAGCACCAAAGGCAAGGTATCACACATGTTACCATGCATGGGCCAATTCCTGTCCTGTTCCTCGTTTGTGCCATGCCACCCCCACACCCACCTCCTTCCCCTTACAGGCCTATGCCCTCCCTTTGGGAGAGAGCATATGCACAGCACTGTCCTTAGGACACAGAAGTAAACCTTGCTCCTCATCTCTCCAAAATGAGAGATGTGGGTGGTACTCCCTCCAACCTGTACCTCTGTCCTCTTTCCTGTTCAGAAAATCAAGGCAGAGCACCGGGAGGGGAGTGAGCACTGTTGCCTTTGTGCTTCCCAAGTCACAGCAGTCCAGCAGAGGCCTGACTGTCTGTTTACCTCTTGCCATCTCCTTAGGGCACGGTAGGGAAATGGAAATGATAAGAAGCCCACCTTACTGGACCTTGGCTTTGAGGGACCCCCCCCCCATAATAAAGTTACTCAGCGAATCTGGCTTCCTGTTATTTTCTCTCCCCATTGGCTGGAACAGATGAAAATTGAATAGTGGGAGTTCCCAGACCCAGTAACAAATCCACTTCTGTTCCTTGCAGGAGGTTCCAGTCCCCCCTCTCCTGGATGACCACAGTGCTGGGATCGTGCATGGTGTCAAGTGCTGATGGCTAGTACTTATGGTTAGACACTTCCTTCCAAAGTCTTTATTGGCGCTGAGAAAAACTGATTAAGAGAAACCAAAACTGGAAGAACTGAAACCAGAGAAAATGCTCAAGAGAAATCTTACATGTGTGTTATTCTTCAGAGTGTCAAGGAAGCAGATACAGAGCTTTGGAAATTTTCATCTGTTCAGGTTTTCATGGGCCCAGGAAGCAATCATAGACAGGTAGTTCAACAGAATGGTTCAGACAGGAACTCTGGGAACTGATTAGCTTGACTTAAATCCCTGCTTTCCACTTCTCTGGCCTTGACCTAAAATCGCTTATCTCTAAAAGGAGGCTGATGACAGAAATTGTAACATTTGAGGAAACAGAAATAGGTGAATTACCCTAGGCTGATGATTATATACTGTATATGTGTGGCAAGTTATTACATTGGATCCATAAATAAGCACAAATATTATCAACTAAAGTATACATGATACAAGTTCATTAATGGTATGGAAGTTTAGAACGAGGCTGTGAGAAGGATCAAGCGAATTCACACATGTAACACACACACAAGATTCATTGGAAGCACCCCTGAAGTGCATGATGAAGATGAAACTGGTGGGTACAAGCTGGAGAGATTTGAAGAAGACACTAAATAGGGCATATATGTCCAAAGAGCATTCCCATTGATCCTCCAAGACCAAACTGTCTGTGCTACCACTATGGTCAAACTTAAGGACCATCAGATGCTGGTGGCAAGGACCACCAGTAAATCTGAGAGGATGATGAGAAATAACATTAAGACTCATCATTCCCTGAAACATGTTTGACCTGGGTCAATATAGTCATAATACTCAATGTATATACGTGAAAATAGAACCAGGTAATTTGAGGCAATGGGTGGGATTTGGGATTTGTACAAATGGGGGAAGAACAATGGAAGGGGTGACAAAATAAATAGGTAAGTTGACAGACAGACAGACAGACAGACAGACAGACAGACAGACAGACAGACAGACAGATAGATAGATAGATAGATAGATAGATAGATAAACTATCCTGGGACTTAAACTCAGGGTATGGTCCTTGGGCTTCTTTTGCTCAAGGCTACCAGTCTACTACTTGAGTCACAGCTCCACTTCTAGCTTTTTTGGTAGTTCATTGGAGATAAGAGTCTCAAGAACTTATCTGTTTATGCTGGCTTCAAATCACTTTCATTAGATCACAATCTCCTGAGTACCTAGGATTATAGGCATGAACCACTGGTGGTCGGTTGTAAAAATAATTCTAAAACTAATTTTAAGAAAAAGGAATCCACATTTTCTTATTTTACATTCTAGTTTGTCAAATATTGAAAACAGCTAGAAAGAACTCTAAAGGTCAAGTCCCTGTGGAAGGTGATAATAAACTTTTAAAGCATTAGTCTCTCTGCCTTTCTCTTTCAACTTTGCCATAAATGCAGGTCATAGTAATATGTCACATCTTAGACCTAGAATGACCATGTCCTCGGGATTAGAAGATTAAAGAATTCACCCACATAGCAGCCACTGGTCATTTGGTTAGTAATGAGCAAGTAGCCTGAAATGTCGCCAATCACTCTCCTGCTGTGTGAAGTTTCCTAAGCTAGCAGTTCTTTTTTTCACTAAACAAAATTTATTTCTGTTTTTCCACTTCTGTTGATTTTTGATGTACTTCATTTTGAGCCATGATGGACTTTGCCATTAAAATAACATCTTGGATAAACTATTTGAAGTCCTGGGAGTTCAAATATACTTTTCTACAATTTCAAATCTATAAACCCAGTGGGAGTCAATCCATTTTTTATGAGTTTTGAATTTGATTGTTTGGATTCTTTCCAAAGCAAGGTCAGAAAGGAAGGGCAGATAGGACTGGCCTATTTGCCAGTCAAGTACAAATCTGAGGCCTAGGCAATGATACTGCATTACAGCCCCAAAGCCTGGAGAACAAGGAAAAGGTGGTCAAGATGTATAATGACTCAGGGCCAGCAGCACATTCAGGCATGGACTTGACAAAAAAAATTGGGAAAGTATCAGATGAGAAACAGTGGTCTCTGGCCACCCTTGGAAAAGGCAACCTTGCATCTGAACTATACTATGTTTGAATGATTGGTAAGACTTCCCCAAAAATGTATAGAAAGGAGAGATATTGCTTGCTTGTCTCATAACTTTGCTTATGAAGTGATGCATGCTAATGGGCAAGGACATCCCTAAAAGACTGGAGCCACATCTCCTCCATCAAGAGGAAATTATCTTCTTTCATTTAGTTTCAACAAATTACTCTTTTGAGGTCTCAGCCCAAAATGACTTTAGTTAATGCTAGTTTTGAATATTTTTTTTGGGGGGGTGGTGTCTGGCCGTGGGGCCTGAACTCTTGGCCTGGGCGCTGTCCCTCAGCTCTTCAGCTCAAGGCTAGCACTCTACCACTTGAGCCACAGCGCCACTTCCGGCTTTTTTTCTTTTTGCTTATGTGGTGCTAAGGAATCGAACCCAGGGCCTCAGGCATGCAAGGCAAGCGCTCTACCACTGAGCCACCTTCCCAGCCCCTAGTTTTGAGTATTGGTAATATAGGATACAACTGGTAATAAAGCATAGACACAAAGGAGTCCTAGAGATGTGAGCTCACAACTAGCAATAAATAGGTCAGTAAGCCCCAGACATATCATTATAAAGGCTAATACAGATATTCTGTTGCTGCTTAAAATATTACAGGGGATGGCCGACCACTGTTCCAGCCAAGAACTTGATAATCTATCTAGAGATTTTTAGACATTTTACTGGAGAGCTGTTGCTGAGGCCTTGAGCACTGGAAGAGCTGAGGGCACAGAGGAGAACTGAGAGGGGCTGAGGGGGATCTGGGACTTTTGCCCTCACGGCCTCTTGTCCATTCAAGACTGGGGTAAGAGGATGACAAGCCCAGTCAGAGGCACATACTTAAGGGCAAAGAGGCTTGCATTGCTGAAGGCAATCGCAGGTGTTAGAGAATCAAACATATTATGGTTTAGAGCACCAGGACTTATGGTCAAATTTCTAGAGAGCAAGGAGCCAAGTACTCTGGAATGCCATGTTCTACAGGATGACAAACCAAGACACTAAGCAGAAAGCCATGGGGAGCAAGAAACTTAGCCCAAGAGCCATCCCGATGGAGACTGTGCAAAACCCAGTGAAGAAAGCATCTGCTCAGGGCTTGAGTAATGCATATGGCAGCCTCAGCCTGATCTCCTCAATCAGGTACGTACTCATCAGATCTGGGTTTCACTTCAAGTGAAACTTCAAGGGATCACCCAAGTTGTGCTTTTGTCAAGGCCAAAAAGCCCTTCCTAATGAGAACGTGTCCCCTTGATGTCTCCTTGGAAACCACAGGTCAAGAGTTGAGAAGCAATAGGGCACAATGGCAAGAGCAGGTAATGGGAAGTGTCGCTGGACATGGGCTCAGTTACTATGGAGGTGACTTTGAACAAGTTTTCTAATCCCTTGGGGGTCTCAATTTCCTCCTTATCAAAAGGAGATAAAATAGGAAGAGAATAGGGGAGAATACATTGAGGCTGCCTATAAGGAACTCAATGCAGTGCACAGACAAGGTATCTGGTGAATGTTAAAGCACTACATTGCCATATATCAATAAGCTAGGACCTACCATGTATGAAGACTGAGACGTCAATGCTGTCCACGCTGTTCCAGCAAGTACTAATGAGATGCACGAGTATAAGGTTTGGGTCTTAGGTGTCATAACTGTGCAATCACACAGGGTAGTTCTCACTAGCCAGGGGAATTACAAGTAGTTCAGTGGGCATGTCAACATAGCCAGCTTGCAAAGGACTATCTGAGATGAGACAGATCCACAGTGAGATCTATACAGCAAGGGACATTTAGAGTTAAGTACTTCTCACTCCTAATGCTAAGTTTTCCTATCTTCCTTTTCTTACTCCATACTAAATGCAATGTTAATAATGCTAGATGGATCTAAGTGACATTGCTACCTCTACTACATATTGTCAGTCGTGGTGCTTGAACTCAGGGCCTAGGCCCTGTTCCTGAGCTCTTTTGTTCAAGGCTAGTGCTGTGCCACTTTGAGCCATAGTTCTATTCTGGTTTTTTGATGGTTAACTGGAGATAAGAGTCTCATGGATTTTCCTGCCTAGTCTGGCTTTGAACCTAGATCCTCACATCTCAGCCTCGTTAGTAGCTAGGATTACAGGCATAAGCTACTAGCTCCCGGCTAAGTGATATTCTTATACAAAATTATCAAATGTAAAACTGAAGAAACTGAAGCCCAGAGATCAAGGGACTGGCTTCTGGCCACACATTGGCAACTGGCAGTCCAAGAACAGAACTTGGGTTGTTGAGTTCAAAGCCAACATTTTTTTTTTACAATGCCATGCTGTCTTATAAAATATGTGAACAACAGATTAGACAATCATCTCTGTTTGCTCCTACTATCAGAAATTATTAATGGACCAAGATAAAAAGAACAACCTTTGTCATTTCCTGGAGACAGGATCTTGCTATATAGCCTAGACTGGTAATCCTCCTGCCTCAGCCTCCTGAGTGTTAGGATTACAGGAATACATCATCCCACCTGGCTCTTGAACAGGTATTTAGAAAACACAGTATTCTGAAATAAGAGTTTAAATCCTGGACAAGATACTGTCCTTAACCAGTTGGGGAATCATTTCACTCCTTTGCAATTCTCTCCCTTTGGGATAAAAGTGATAAATGCTCTATAAACAGAAAGTAAACATGTAGGCTTTGCAGGCCATCTGGTCTCTATTGTAATTCAGTTCTGCTGCTATAGTGCCAAAGCAGTCTTAGCCAATACATAGAGGACTTAACATGGTATGTGTTAATAAAACTTTATGGATATTTGGATTTCATACAATTTTCCTAAGTCATGCATCATCATTCTTTCAATCTTTTTCCAAGTGTTGGAAAAAGAAGAAAACCATTCTTAGTCTGCAAATTATTGAAACACAGACGATGAACTCAGTGCTATCTATTCTACTTGCTTTGCTAACTGGTCAATACTTTACATATAAACATATTAAATTACTTAAGAATAGGGATGTTCTGGTTTGACCAATCTTAAGATTTAGTTATCTATATCTAATATATCCAAGAATATAAAAAGATATTAAATGCAGTTCTCGTTTTCTGTAAGAGAGAAAATAGTATCCAGGTCCTAAGAAGAATTATTTCATTATATTCTGTAGACTGTGTGATTCAGAATACATGTTTATTCTGAAAGTCAACTTTTAGGAGATTATTAAAAAATTGAGTCGCATCCTCTGGAGAGAAAGTAGCAGAGTGAGAGGCAAACCTATATTTTAACCAAGGACAGTGAAGGACAGAAATGATATTTGAATGCTGAATGTGAATGAGACTTACCCAGAAAGGAAGATGATAGCTAATGGAAAAGAAGTCAACTGGATTCCAGCTCTCAGAAACAACAGTGTAATGAGCTACCACACATACAGTGCACCCTCCATCACAGGCAATATTCAAGTAGAAGCTGGCTGACTACATCTCAAAGACATACTATAGACATTACCATTGACCAGGAGAGGTCAGCTCAATGACCTTGAAGGCTCCTTTTGGTGCAAAAACTCTAAGTCTATAAAATGAGTGAAGGATAGAAAGCACTTTGAGGATTTGGCTACCCATAAAAAGCTGCAGGACCCTATTGAGGTGAGCATGCGTCCATCCTATCACTATCAGATAGCATGATGAAGAAGATTCTGGAACCTTTGATGACAAGCACTCAAACCTGCCTAGAGCCAAGACTGCAAGAAGCAAGTATGTTCTCAGGTAGTACTGAAGTGGAACAGCTCTTGCTCAGATTTAGCTTGATCTTAGGTTGGGACCAAACAATGGGTAGCAAGGAGGATTTCTGTAATGGAGTGTTGGTGAAAAGATGGACTGGAAGAGATAGGTCACTTAGAAAAATGAACTGTCACTCAAAGGTAGGAAGGAAAAGGAGGGAATTGATTAGAGAGAAAATGATCCCCCAGCTTTCCCTCCTAGACAGTCCTTTTCTCAGTGCTAAGACACAAGCAAAGGTCCCACCTTCTGCCCAGAGTTGCCCAGAGCTCAAGGAGCATGTCACTCACATAGACAGACTTGAGGTGGTTAGGGGAAATAATTGAGTGTCTTACCCTTCTCGTTCATCATCTGTGTTGTAATACACCTGTAGAACAAAGCAATAGTCTTACTGTAGGTCAGAGACAAGAGTGAAAATGCATCACATGATATATAGACTTCCTTAAGGTATAAATTGCCACTTAAAAAAACAAAAGGCAAATTTTCAATGATTGTGTGTGTGTGTGTGTGTGTGTGTGTGTGTGTGTGTGTGTAAAGAAACACAAAATTTAACCTCTTCACATTTTCCCTGGGGTTGATTCTTCTTTAATGAAATAAAATGGAAAATCTGATTATTTCTAGCTAAAGTCAGTCTGATTAGATTATTACAGCCCTAAGCCAAATCTTGCTTCTGACATTAAGAAAATATGCTGGTGGGAATCTAGATTCATGGTTTAGAAAGGTGCTGGTTGGCAGTGTGGCTCTTGGAGCAAGGCCTGGGATGCCTATCCCATGTGACTCACAGATGAGCTGACTCTGAGGCTGGGGGAGGAGGGGGGGAGGGCAAGGCGGTCCGACAGCAGGCCAGCAGGCCAGCAGGCCAGCAGGCCCCCCTGTTTACTGAAAAGGAATCTGGGTTGCCATGACATCCCACATACACAGAAAATTAGAAGTCGCTGTCATTAAGTTGGTAATGGTGACGTGGCTTTGGCAGGCATGCCTAGCCCAAAGGAAGATCTCCAAGGACAATTACCTATAACGGTCAGCCCAGAGGCGGGAAGAATCAGAATTAAAACATTCATTATAAAGCATCTTTAGTATTTGATGGAACTATGGGGGATTTGCTGTGTCCACGTATCTTTCGAGCCTCAGTATTTCTATACATTGTCGGCCTTTTACGAGCCTAAATGTGTCGGTGTGAGAAACAATATACGAATTAGTATCAACCATTCACATATATCCTTCAAAAGCAGCCTGAAGACTCAGCCCCTTAAGTCACTGTTCCCGCCCATCCTAGGCCTCCCCCGATGCCAGCTCAGTACAGATGTCATTTCTGGGTAGACTTCTAAGACTCCTGGCAGCTCCCAGGAAGCTGCCAAGACTAGACCTTATTGCATAACAAACCTGGTTAGCTAGAATTCTCTGAAATGAGTCATTCCAAGTACTGGCTCAGCTCTGCATCAGTAGCCTCCTCATCGTCGTTGCATTGCATTATTTTGTGCTTTCATAAATAAACAGCAAGGAGAGTAAGTTGTGGTATTTTTCGAACCCAGGGTTCAGTGTGGTGTGCAGAGCACTGGTCACGGTGACGGTGGAGGGAGGGAGCCTGGGCCACACAGTTACATTGCAAAGTTCCTGGTGGTGGTTGGTACTGTGTTGGTTGCTTTATATGTTAAAGTCACACATCTGCCCTGCCTGACACCCTAGTAAGGTTAAGAGACAGCTCTTGGCAAAGCTGGCTGGTGATCTGATCACACACACAGTCTTGTAGTGTTCTCTCATCCCCTTGGATGGCTCTGCTTCACGGAGGGTCCCTGTCACTGCCTTCATGATTAGTTCCTCCCTCTCACAGAACCACCTACTGCTTCTTCCTTGTCTGCCATTGTAACAATTGCACCAATTGGACTAATTTCATTTTTTGAAGCATGTGTTTTCAAACCTAAGTATGTCTAACAAACACACCCAGAGGCCTTATTATGAGTGTAATCTCCAAGGATCACTTCAGAGATTCGAATTCTAAAGACTTGAGAGAGAGAGAGTGGTACCGGGAAAGGGAGAGGGGAACTGGGGGGGCTGGGGAATCTGAATGAATACAAGAACATGTGCTTGGAGAATGCTGACCAATCATGATTCAAGGGACCCTCCCAGAGGGTAGGAGAGAGCCGAGGGTCCTCTTGGGTTCAGTCACTTGTATTTATGACTATCCCCTCATGCTAGCTTTTGATGATTACTTGAAGAATGTTCTCCAGTGCACACACAGGTCAATAAGATAATGGGGGAGAGAGGGACATAAGACAGGTAGTAAAAGTGGTTTCCCATAGCCAGTGTTCTCACGTGAATAGAAAGAGCTGGTTCATAGAGGTAACACCTTCAGCATGGCTCAGGACTGGCCTTTGACTGAGGCTGTGGGCTCTGCCCTGTGTGGGGCTGTGTGAGGCTGGTATAGTAAGACTCACACCTGCAGTAGTTATGGGGCACAACCACTGTGGGCCTCCCCTCCACAAGTAGTAAATCAGCCTGCCTCTGCTTCCTTTCATGCTACATGTTCTAGTTGGCCAACCCCAGTCCCATCCTTACTTTGGGGCCACGGCATTGCCTCTTCCTCCTGCCTCTAGACACCCTATCTCTCAGCAAAGGCAACCTTTAAAAGCCGGAGCAGGCTGCTGCTCCAGAGTGCTGTTGAGTGTGCCCTGGCTGCCAGGGCAGCCTTCCGCATCAACTCCCTTGCTTGGAATCCCAGGGAGGCCTGGAACATTGGGAAGACAGCCTCTGGATAGCAGGACCTAAGGACACTGCTCAAGGAACTGCTTTACAACTACTGAAGCCAACAACCTGCCAAGGAAGACTGCTGCACTGGCCTTCCTAATCATCCTGAGGCTGTTTTTCCATCTTGTGGCACTGAGAGGCAGGGGAAGGCAGCGGACTGGCTTCTGTTAAGACTCATTTACAGCTTTGTGATTTCAGACAAATCTTGTCAAGAGAGTAGACCAGGCTGTCAGTGGGGACATGACACTGTAGCCAGAGCCCTGGCAGAGGACAGTAAGCACAGCTTAACTCAATTATTCCTCTTCTAGATGAGTGGAAACCTTGCTCCGTGAAACTCTGGAGTTAGGACAGACAAACCACCACCGGATGCCTGATAACTTTTTGTTTTTTTAATTTGTTGCTGGTTCTCCTTTTTGACTAAATTATAAAATTCTTCCTTTCCCTGTGCCCAAGCAAGGCAGAAATATGAGATTTGTTTTTTAGTGAAAATGTGCTTAAAGGAAAAGCTATTGGTATTGTAGCACCATGTATTAACAGCAATGACAAAATAACCAGGCCAAAACAAAAACCACAAAAAACAAAAACAAGCCCTCTGCGTGTTTAATTGTTGTGTCCCATAATGAAACCACACATCCAATTCTGGGTGGTGAAATAATACTGAAGAAGAGACAGTAAAGCTAATGAAGACTTCACCTGCTAGACCACAGTGCAGACAAAGGTCAGGTCTTAAGAATATCTGCACACAAAACATAGGAGCTAGCCGGGTGCCAGTGGATCACACCTGTAATCCTAGCTACTGAAGAGGCCAAGATCTGAGGATTGCGGTTCAAAACCAGCCTGGGCCGGATAGTCTGTGAGACTCTTATCTCCGATAAACCACAGAAAAGGCGGAAGTGGTGCTGTGGCTCAAGTGGTAGAGAGCTCGCCTTGAGTTGGAGAGCTATGGGACAGCACCCAGGCCCAGAGTTCAAGCCCCACAACTGACAAAAAAAAGAAAAAAAAGAGAGAGAGAAACTTGAGCATTCTGGTAGACCTTATTTCTCAAAACAGACCTTCCCTTAAAGATACTGTAGATCTGAAAGGAAACTAAGCTGCACAGAAATCAAACCTCATTTGGTCGGGTAAAAGACAATTCTGGATGATCTAAAGAAAATACTACTATTTGTCTTTCACACACATTAATTTATCATGTGAAAGAAACAATGCTAAAAAAATAGAGTTACAAGTATTATCTCATAACTCAGTAAAATTCTTTGATCAAAGAAGACTCCATCAACAATTTTCCTCATAGTAAATTGACAATTAATAGTGAATGGTTAATTCAACTCATGGGTAATTGTTCATGTTCCTTCAAGTACAATTAGATATTAGGGAGTACTCTACAGACACAAATTGATGAGTGTGTGTGTATGTGTGTGTGTGTGTGTGTGTATGCACGTGCACCAGTACTGGGACTTGAACTCAGTGCCTTGGCTTTTTTGCTCAAGGCTGGAGCTTTACTGCTTCAGCCATACCTCCACTTTTGGCTTTTTGCTGGTTAGTTAAAGATGAGTCTCATGGACTTTTCAGCCTGGACTGGCTTTGAGCCACAATCTTTAGTAACCAGGATTTTAGGCATGAACCATCAGAACCTGGCCTTCTTTTTATAACATTATTACAATAGTTCCTATGATGGTACATAGTTTTTGTGATTAATATTTTTAATAGCTGCATAATATTCCATAAACCCAAGCTACCCATAATGAATTAGTTATTGGACATCTGTTTTGATTAATATTACATCTTTCCTTCATTTGTAGCTATACCTCACAGACAGAACTTACTTTTGTTATTGTTTTCTAAAGCAGGGGGAAACTTAACTTTATTTCTCACCCATATCTAGATGAGGAATTATTTACCTATTCAATGGATAATATTAATTTACTAGGAGAAAATTGCTGGAGGAAGCTGAGTCTTAATGAAAAAAAATTCCCCTTGTGTGGCTTTAGGAAGCCATAGGTGCAGTTATATTTCCTACCATTAGGTGGTGCTGTATTGTATCAGCTAAACCTCTTGACAAAGTTTTAACAAGCACTCTCTCCTTCTTCCTTCCTTCCTTCCTTCCTTCCTTCCTTCCTTCCTTCCTTCCTTCCTTCCTTCCTTCCTTCCTTCCTTCCTTCCTTCCTTCCTTCCTTCCTTTCCTTCCTTCCCTCCCTCCCTTTCTCCTTTCCTTCCTTCCTTCCATCCTTTTTCATTGCACTGTGAGCCCTTCTTTCACTAACATCTACCCACTCTCTTCTGCCCTTTGGGAAGTCAGTATCCATGTTTTGAGAGAAACAGCATAGACTTTCCTCAACCACTCTGGAGCTGCCTGAGTGGATGGCAGGTGGGTATTTTCAGAGTCTTACCTGTCCAGTCCTCTGCAGGTTTGCAAAGTGAACGTCAGGAATGAAGAGCACAGGCTGTGAGTGCAGGTCAGGCATGGTTTTGAAGTAGGTGATGTCACTCTTCTTCTGTAAAGGTATGGCAGCCAACTTCCCATCGGCGGCTGGAAGGGACCACCCAACCCATAGAGGACAGAGTTATGCATGACTGGGAACCATCTTAACCAAAGCTCACGGCTTTCTACTATAAATATAGATGTGAGCACACGTTGCATGCCTCTTTCCTACCCCACACAAACACAGAAAAACCAGTGAGCCGTGGGGCCCCCAGAGATCTAGCGGTCCCTACATTACAAATCATATTGCACATGTGATTCTATCAGCTTTTCATAGAAAATTAGTCGCTGCTAGGGGCTCAGGCCATCCCTTCCTATCTATCCCTTCCCTGCAACCCTCTTCTCTCTACCTCTTCCTTAGGGGTTCCCCACCCACAGAGCCTCCCGTTCAGCACAGGGAAACTCACAGTTGTTGCACTGTGTTTGGGAGGCCTGGCCTTTCCCTTTCTTCCTGTTCTGCTTTCTCTCTTCATCTCGGATTTTCCTTTCAGCTCCCTAAAGAGAAAAACAAACAAAAGGCCCAGCCAAACACCATTATCAAAGCATGCACCGGTATTGTCCTACATCCACAAATCATGTGACCATGAAACAAAATGGAGGGAAGAGGGGGAACAGGAAGCCCCATTCTCTAGTGAGTTCAGACCTCTGTTCTGACAGTTGAGAACATTCACGAGTCTATGTACTGTACTTCTAACCAGGAGTGTGTCCATCTCAGCTGACTGTCTCCTTTTTTGGTATTGTACCTATTTAAAGAACGTTAGTTTTGAATTCATATGGAAAGACTAGATCCAGTTCCCTAATCCAGTGTCAAAGTAGCTTTACTGATTATAATAAAGTGTCATCGGATGAAGCACTGCCCCATTAAATTCATTCCTGGGCATGGAGAGAGTTTTAAAGTTAAATTTGACTTCTCTATAAAATGTTTCCTTCACTTGTTAGAAATTTTTTAAGAAATCATTACAGTGGCCAGGCGTAATTGGGCATGTTTATAATCCTAGCCAGTCAGGAGGCAGAAGTAGGAGGATTGCAGCTCAGGACCAGCTTGTGCAAAGGTAGAGTGAGTCTCAATCTGAAAACTAAACTAAAAACAAAAAGGAGGAGGGAGTGGTTCAAGTGGTAGAATGCCTGCCTGGCAAACACAAGGTCCTTCCTTCAAATTCTAGTGCCACGAAAAAGGAGGAGGGAACCCTTCATTACAGGGGTAGAACTGAGGGAAGGCATTTATCTCTTCCTTTATGGGCACAGAGGTATGAGGTCCCTCAGTGCTTAGAAGTATCAGCATTTTCATATGGTGTACATCCAACAAAATAGAAGAAGACTGTTGATTATTCAGTGCCTTTTTGTACGCTGTGCTTTGTCATTTGACTTTTCCATTGGCTCTTGCCCAATTACCAAATTGTATCCTATTTTACTGGTTGATCGGCACCACAACAAGTCTTTTCTTTCCTTCAGAGCTGGTGGTAATTCCCTAATTCCTCTTTAGTTGTTTGTTCATTCATTCTTCTCTTTATCACCCCTCATGCAGGTGCTGACAGCTTCTCGCATTTTCTCAGGGCAGGAGAACTCTTGGCACCATGTTTACACCCTGCCCCAGACAGGGAACCCCCAGCCTGACCACTTTCCCTACGTTTCAGGTCAGTTTTTAGTTCCTGATTCCTGTGGCTGCCTCCTGGCCCACATGTACCCAGCGACATTCAGTTCTTCAGAATCTGCCAGCAAATCATCATATGTAGAAGAAACAGAATCGATAACACAAAGCTCAATCAGGAAGTTAAAAATTGGTGAAAATATTTGTAATAAAATCATTTGCAATCAAATATCAGGCATCTAATTCTTTTATTTTTTTTAGGTCGGTTGTAGGACTTGAACTCTGGGCCTGGGCACTGTCCTTCAGCTCTTCAGCTCAAGGCGAGTGCTCTACCACTAGAGCCACAGCCCCACTTCTGGCTTTTTCTATGATTAATTGGAGATAAGAGTCTCACAGACTTCCCTGCCCGGGCTGGCTTTGAATGTGATCCTCAGATCTCAGCCTCCTGAGTAGCTAGGATTATAGGCGTGAGCCACCGGCACCTGGCAAATAACATTTTCTTTTGACAAAAAGTTACTGTTGAAAAGTTTGATGTTGCCAGGCACTGGTGGCTCACGCATCTATAATTGCAGAAGGCTGAGATCTGAGGTTGAAATTCAAAGCCAGTTGGGGGAGGGAAGTCCATGAGACTCTATCTCCAATTAATCATAGAAAAAGCCAGAAGTGGGGCTGTGGCTCTAGTGGTAGAGTGCTATCTATCCTTGAGCATAAAGGAGCTCAGGGATAGTGCTTAGACCCAGAGTTCAAGCTCCAGGACTTTGGGGAAAAAAGTTTGATGGCAAATGTTTTCTATACTAGTGACTATTTTATTTATCTTACTTAGATAGAATAAGGAATAAAGTTTTTTTCTATTTTCTCCAAGGTCAATGGCTTAACTATTTGGTCCTGGGTCATCCTAAATCGTTTTTTCCAAGTATATGGTATATCACTTTGTATTTTAAAATACTTTGCATTTTAAGTATTTCTTCTAATCCTTGTTTTCATTTTTTTGTCCAAAGATTCCTAGTATGTGAATACAAGATCTTTACCTCTCTTCTCCATTACTTTCTTTTGCATCTCCTCCTCCTCCTCCTCCTCTTCTTCCTCCTCCTCCTTCTTGTTGATCATGGGACTTGAACTCTGGGCCTGGGCGCTGTCCCTCAGCTCAACTCAAGGTGAGAGCTCTACCACTTGAGCCACAGCGCCACTTCCAGTTTTCTGGTGGTTTATTGGAGATAAGAGTCTCAAGGACTCTTCCTGCCTGGGCTGGCTTTGAACTGCAATCCTCAGATCTTGGCCTCCTGGGTAGCTAGGATTACAGGCATGAGCTACTGGCGCCAGCTTCTTATTTTTAAAGTTGTGCTGTTTTCGAACTTGTATAGTCTTGAGATGAGACATATCTACCCTATTAGTCACTCTTGTGTTATCTTTTGAAATATTTTAATCATCTCTTTCTAAATTCTTCCCTGAGTTCTAATCTATCTCTTTTCAAGTCATTCTATGCTAGAAACATTTCATGGGTGAGTTTTTCAAGTGTGATTTATGTTGGTCAGCACAGTCTTTATTAGTCCCTTAATTTCATTTAGCTCATTTTGAAACATTTCACTTGTTTTCTGTCATGTGTTTGTGGTATTCTCTGGTGGCCATAGGAAACTTGATTGTTTTCTGTCTCTCTCTCTCTCTCTTTTCCTCTTACCCCAGTACTTAGGTTTGAACTGACAGCTTACACGAGAGCCAAGCCACTGGTTGTTGCTTTAGCTTATTTTTCAGATAAAGTCTCTCTGCCCTTTTCCCTAGGGCTGGTATTGGACTATGATACTCCTATTTCTGCTTCTCAAGTAGCTGAGATTACAGATATAAGACACCAAGCTCAATAATCTCTCTTTTAGATGTGATTTGGGGAGAGTTCTTGTCTTATTTTTGTTGTTGTTGTTGTTGTTTTGGGTTTTTTTTTTTTCCTGTTCTGTTTTTGTTAGTCTTCAGGGAAATGAGTGGGCAGATAATCTCTCCAACTTCCTGGCTCTCTTGCTCCCTCTTGTGGTGTATTCACAAACTGATACAAAACAGTCATTTTTCTAAGCTCTGTTTACACTCTATCCCTTCCCATCGTCATTTTCATGTTTCTTTCAACTTTGTCTTTTCTTTCCACATTTCTTCCCCTGCTACCTCAACTTGATTCTACTCTCAACAGTTTGTCTTAGTAGAGAACTTCAGTTAACAAATTTTTACTGAGAACAAAACACTTCACTACTCAGTTCTTTTGCATTGACCAGAAAACTGGAGGAAACTGTCTCCAGTCTCACATGCTGTGCTCAGAAAGCTGTACTTTCTGGTGAGTGTTTGGGGATATTCTGTAACTTTTCCTTCTTGGTCCTCAGGTGGCCTCTTCCCCTCATACATGCTGAAATAATGGATGTCTCATTCATACACTTGTAAAACTCTTTTGTCACCTAACTATAGGACTTTAAATCATGCTGTGTGTGCCAGTCCTAGAGCTAGAACTCAGAGCCTTGCACTCCCATTCATATTTCTTGCTCATCATTCGTGCTCTACCACTTGAACTATATCGCTAGGACAGCTTCTTTTGCTGGTTAATAGGAGATAGAATCCCCTGGATTTTTTCTGCTTGTTCTGGCTTTACATTTTGACTTCAAAGTAGGTAGGCTTGGATGTATAAGTCATGTGTACTCAGCTAAAACACACCATTCTAACTGCTTTATCTCCTTGATGATAGGACTCAGGAAGATGGAAGTACATATTTACTGAGTGCATGTATACTGATGAACTTATAGTTTTGATTTCCATTTCATGATAGTCTAGCCTCCAAAAACCTACTGATACTATACCAGCTGTCTAAGTGAATCAGACCATAACACTGCATGTTATGACTGAATATTGAATACTGGCACTCCCTCCCCCCCAAAAAAAAATAATATGCTGAAGCTCTTGTAACCAATGAGCTGATGTTGATGTGGTAGAGCCTTGGGGTTGGATGAGGTCATGAGGTGGGAGCCTTATGTGATAGTGTCCTTATTTTTTAAAAATTCATAAAAAAAAATACTGATGGCTGTCTCTTGCTTTTACCATGTGAGGACACAATAAAAGCATGTTCATCTACATGCCAGAAAGAAGGCTTTAGTCATAGAACTGAACTAATCTTATCCTTCCAGCTTCCAGAAATACATTTCTATTGTTTAAGCTTGCCAGTCTAGAATATTTTCTTATTACAGACTGAACAGACTTAAGGCACAAGATAACGTTAGTCATTAACTGAGTGGTAAAAAAAAATGATCAATTAAAAACAATCAATGGACACTTAACTGGTGACTATGTATTTAACAGGAATGGAGAATAAAAGATCAACCATTCCTGCTGTGATTGGTGGAGTCATTATTTTGACACCACTAGACATGACAAGGTGACGTAGAGAAAGTGTCATTAACCAAGGTGCCAAGTAAAACTGTTATTTTTACTCACTTTGTCGCAGAAGACCTTGATCTGGCAATAGGCTCTGTGGATGGGTTTATTGCTGCGATTATTATAACTGTATGTATCAATCTGAATCATCAGAGGAAGTCCTTTCACCCCTTTTTGAGAAGAGAAATCTGTACTTAGGCAATTCACAGTGATGAAAATCTGGAGGAGAAAGAAAGAAGGGAAAAAATTCACAAATCATTGTACCAAGGCTTTCCAGAAACAGTCATACATAAGCCTTATACTTTTGGTGAAAATACTGAACTAATCTACAAGGACTATGCTGTTACAGACAAACCTGTTGAATGCATAGGACATACAATGTATCATTCACAATTTTAAACCTATCATTAACTACCTTCATATTGATCTTGAAGCAGGCCATTTAAATTATCTTGCCAAAAGTATGCCAGCAAAGTCTTACCCATGTTCTTAAATATGCCTAATTGACTTGAGAAAAACGTTGTCTTCTCAACATAGTAAAGGGGTCACTTCTAACAGTCATATAAATTGCTCTAATCCCTGACCTATGGGGAGAAAATAAATGAACTGAGATAATACCTCCCTTTACATATTATTGCATTATCCATTTGCAAATATGTCTTTCTACATGAATACACAGAATGAGATTTGAGACCTTTTTTTTAGTATTTTTATGTCACTCATGTATCGTTAGCTTTTGATTTTCCCTTTAAATCTTCTTCCAATCCCTCCCTGCAGGACAGAATGACAATACTAGCATACTTTCATGTGACCACAAGGTATGAAATAGGAGGGAGAAAGAATAGTAACAGCACTGACTATCCTTGTCTTAGCTCGACATGGTAGTACAGCCCTGTAAACTCAGCACTCAGGAGGCTGAGTCTGGAGTAAGACCCTATCTCTGTTTTTCAAAAAAAGAAACTTTATCTTAAAAGGATGGGACATCAAGAATTACATTAATGACATGTATCCAAAAAAGGTAGAAACTCAAATTGATGATTGCATATTACAGAATGAACCAACTAAAGAATTGAAAATAATAGGTTCATTCTAAAATATTGGTAGAAATAGAGGGTGTGACTAAATTTCCTTTGATTTTATATAGCAGGGGACAATCAATAGGGGACAGCCAATAGCAGATGGACATTAAAGTGTGATTGGAAGCAAGGTACAGGCATAGCCTCAAGTCAGAACACTGACACCACGTGATCGGCTGAGAGAACCAAGCAAGCTATATTTTATTCTTGGTAATGTTTTCATCTACATCCTATAAATTACTTTTCTTTAAAATAAAAATGTAAATCACTGATTGCTTCGAAATTGTACACTCATCTATTCTGAAAACAATTCCATCACATACTATTTCACCTTTATTTGGTCCCCTGAGCTCTGCTTTACCATCAAACCCTAGACCAAAAGCCTCTTGCATCTTTGGGCTGTCCTGCAGGAACTGGTGTTAGCTTCCAAGAACTCTGCTTTAACAGCAGTTAGATTTTTTTAATTTAACTGCCAGGCCTGATCCTTCATTTCAAGCCCTATGTCTGTAGACTTTTGGTACTTTTTTTTTTTTACCCATATCAATTTTAATAGAGGACAGGTGAAAATAATTTGTCTTTGCTATGCTAAGTCTTTTTCTAATAATGTAACTCATTTGGCAATTCAAAGCATATATATGATACAGTTAAATTCTAAAATGAATTATCCATCACATCGATTTTAAAATATTGAAACAGCATAAAAACAGAGTGGCTATATTTTACAAATTCTTATAAAAACTCAAAGGTTTCAAAATATTCAAAGGATATACCACAAAAATACCATAGTTAATTACTTTCTTTTTTTTTTGGTCAGTCATGGGGCCTGAACTCAGAGCCTGGGTGCTGTCCCTCAGCTCTTCAGCTCAAGGCTAGAGCTCTACCACTTGAGCCACAGTACACTTCAAACTTTTTCTGTTTATGTATTGCTGAGGAACTGAGCTCAGGGATGTGTTGCTGAGGAATCGAGCTCAGGGCTCATGCATGCAAGGCAAGCGCTCTACCACTGAGCCACCTTCCCAGCCCCAATTACATTATTTTTTAATACAGTAATAAGTCAATAAAGGGAGTGAATCAGATTCAGGATTGAAATGCTGTAGTCCTCCATGAAGATTTCAAACCAGATTTTCCATTTCAACCTATGTGTTTGTGTGTGTGTGGGGGGGGGGGGGGGGTGGGGGGAAGGGGGGAACCACAACCAGAATGAGCTCAGAGAGAAGATTAAGAGATCATGCCCTGGTCAAAGCCAACACTCAAGCAATGGCAATTCCAGGTCAGACTATACTTCACTTCACTCATCATTGCCTCTTTTGGTACTTTTTACCACCAGCCATTGTCTAGGCTTTAGTGCTTGATCACTATAAGCAGGACTGTCATTTGAGAGCTTCTCATTGGCAATGAGATGCATTCATGAGGCACCACAGCAGCAGCAGGAGTGTCAAAGCCAGTTGACAGGTCTCAGGTACATGCTAATGACAACAGCCTTGTCCACAGGTGCTAGCATTCCCAGCCACTGCCTGAAGATGATCTAAGATGGGAATCCCAGCTCTAACATGCAGCATGAGGATGAAAAGCAGGATGCCTGTACTGCATATAGGATTTGTACAGAATGAGTTGATTTTAGATGATTTAGCACAGCTAATCACCACACAAGAGATAATGAGGTACTTATTTTTCTCACAACATTTTCTTTTCTTTTCTTTTTTTTTTTTTTTGGGGGGGGGGTCCGGTCATGGAGCCTGAACTCTGGGCCTGGGCGCTGTCCCTCAGCTCTTCAGCTCAAGGCTAGCACTCTACCACTTCTCTTCAGCTCAAGGCTAGCACTCTACCACTTGAGCCACAGCGCCACTTCTGGCTTTTTTCTGCTTGCTTATGTGGTGCTGAGGACTCGAACCCGGTGCCTCAGGCATGCAAGGCAAGCGCTCTACCACTGAGCCACCTTCCCAACCCCAACATTTTATTTTCTATATGTACCCCCATTATCATGTTAAAATATACAAAATTGTGTGTGTTTGCGTGCGTGCGCGCTTGTGCACATGCGCATGCGCTAGTCCTGAAGCTTGAACTCAGGGCCTGGGCACTATCCTTGAGCATTTTTGCGCAAGGCTAAAGCTTTACCACTTTGAGCCACAGCTCTATGTGTGGTTTCCTGCAGATAAAAAGAATCACGGACATTCCTGCCAGTGCTGGCTTTGAACCGCAATCCTCAGATCTCAGCCTCCTGAGTAGGTAGGATTATAGGTATGAGCCACCAGGGTCTGCCTCAGAAAATTTTAGAAGATGATCTAACTATGGATGTATTCATTGCATTCCTTCCTTTCATTCGTTTGGTTAGTCGATCCATCTGTCTAACTAGCTTCAGAAGCTCACAATAGATCCAATACAGCATTAGACACCGGGAATAGACAGGAAACCCAAGCCTGCCTCATAGTCTATGGGGAAGACGGACATGGGATCCAGTAATGGTCAAAAAGAGGTGTGGACAGAGGCCTCAAGAACATGGAACTGAGCTTCAGGTTCTAGAGGATACTAGTGAAAAACAAACCACATAGATGCTGGGCTCAGAGCAGGCACCTTACAAAAATACAAATACAAATAGGAAAGAAAGAGAAGAGCTGAAGATCTAGATGTCATGTGAATCAGCACTGACTAATTAATAAGGAGTACTAAGAATAACTATGGGTCGCCGGCTTCGCAGGGACTGCTTCCAGGGTTCAAGCATGTTGCTCATAGTGGTCATATTGACAAAAAAAATGCTACCTATAGTTTATGGACATTGCCCATTGGCAGTGAAATTCTACTGAACATTTGTTCATAAAGCAAATGTTTTTGATTGTCTTCCAAGTTCTAACAGTTGTACAAGTTGTGGTTTCTACAATCATAGAAGTTCCAAGCAAGACAAGGAGAGATGATATGATGCCACATTGTGTTTGGGTTTTTGACAGTACTGGGGTAGGGGTGGGGGGCAGGGTTGAACTCAGGGCCTCACACTGGCTAGGCAAGTGCTCTTTCCACTGAGCCATAACTCCAGCTACTTAACATGGTGCTCTGAAGAATACAAAAGCTTTATTGATTGCTGAACTATATATAGATCAAGGAAATAAAGTGTCCTATTTTAGAAATGCTTGACTTCTTTTATTGTCATTACTGGCAGTGGGGTAATCTTGAGTAAAATGCATAAACATAGTTTTATGTCTGCGAATCAAATGTTCACACTGTGGAATTAGGAAGTTCTCCCAAAATTTGGCTACAATGTTCACACAGAGAATCTTCCTGATGGTGGCAGTAATCCACAGGGATCTCAATGCAGGTGGGTGTTTTCCATTCCTTCAAAACAGCCTGCTTCATACTACAGAAGCCAGTGTTCTGCTGAATGTGTGCTAAGCTATTAGATTTCATGGTGATTTAACCATATATATCAACAAGCTGGGTGTTGGTGGTCACACCTTTCATCCTGGCTACTGAGGAGGCTGAGATCTAAGAATCTCAGTTTAAAGCCAGCAAGACCAGCAAGAAAGTCAGTGTGACTCTTCTCTCCAATTAATGATCAAAAACTCAGAAGTGGAGCTGTGGATCAAGGGTAGAGTGCCAACCTTGAGTGAAAAAGCTAAAGGACAGTGCCTAGGCCCTGAGTTCAACAGACACATACATACAAAGATAAAATTGGCTGGGCACTGGTGGCTCACACCAGTAATCCCAGATCAGCTAGTTGAGATCTGAGGATCACAGTTCAAAGCCAACTGTGGAAGGAAAACTCATGCAACTCTTGTCTCCAATTAATTTCCAAAAAAAAAAAAAAAAAATAGGGGTGGAACTATGGCTCAAGTGGTAGAGCGCCAGCCTCAAGCAAATAAACTCAGAGACAGTAGCCAGGCCTAGAATTCAAGTCCCAGGACCAACACACAAGAAGGAAAGAAGAAAGAAAGGAAAGAAAGAGCCAAAGAAAAGGAGAAACAAAGAGAAAGGGAGGAAGGAAGGAAGGAAGGAAGGAAGGAGGGAAGAGAAATGAAAAAGAATAAGAGAAAGAAAAAGAAACAAGTAAAAGACAGGAAAATCTGCCTTCTCTAATGCATTATGTGGCCACTCCCAGGGCTGCTTTGGCATGCAGGACTTTCTAATGAGATGAGTATGCTTTTCTCTTGACTGACTGCCTGATCCTGTGAAAAGCAGACTTACAGTGCCTGACAGCATCAGTTATGGTCTCGCTGTGCTGGGCTCAAAACCCAAATGGTTGAAGTTTAACTAAAGGTGGGAGGGAAGAGACTACTGTTAACTAAAACTTTGGTGCAGGAACTGATAAGCATTTGTTTCATCTTGCAAACCCAACTACATCTCAGCTCCATGCACAGCAAGTAAATATGAGAACATATTTCTTGGGAACTTTATCTACAAAGCACTTATAGGTAAGTGTGTTATTGGAGAGATGGAAGGAAAAGTATGATTTCATCCATCAAATGTTCATCCATGTGTCAAGCACAGAAAGTTCTTTGTGACTTCAACAAGAACCCTGATTCTGTAATGAGCAGGCAATTGCATAAATAATGAATCTGTCACCTGAGTTATGAAGCTACATGTGCATATGTTTTCGTATAACGTTTTCAAAAGCAGTACCATGTTTTCCTATCACTCTAATAGCACCTTCTTCTTTCATTAGAAAAATTAATTAAATCGAGTGCATTCAGGCAGATAGGCATTTTTTAATTTTTCCATGGTTCAAAGATTGATTCAGATAGATTATTTCTAAATGTACCAAGACTTTTCCCAGAAATAGCAGCAATCTCATGACATCTGACATTTTAAATCAAATAATCTGTTACACATGAGTCACAATTCTCCTTTTATGGTTCCAGAAGAGTAGCTTTGCAGAAATCTTATACCTCCCAGTTGTTCATGCTGTGTGTAGAAAGACTTATTAAAATAAATACGGGAAGTAGCGCTATGGCTCAAAGTGGTAGAGTGCTAGCCATGAGCACTAAAGCTCAGGGACAGTACCCAGACCTGCATTCAAGCCCCACAACTGACAAAAACAAACAAAGAAATATAAATCAATGAGCTTTAGCATTGAAACATTAACTTGCTTGTTAACTCTCATCATTTTTATGAGAGCTTTCTATTAAAATGAGTCTACCTTTGATCGATTTAGAAAATAATTTAGGATTCTAGAAATCAGGATATCCATAACTTGGTGCAATGTGTTTGTCTCTTTAAACAATTATAACTTGTGCTTGTGAAACAAGTTAAAGCTACTTGTTTCGTAATGATTGTGACCATAAAGAGCTCTTTCCCAAGAAATTACACATGTAGAAGCTTCGAAATCACAGATACAAGGTGTGCATTGAGATGCAGCCATCTTAGCATCGGACATCATGACCTTTCACAAACCATCTATAAATATGTAACTGTGCTATTTATTGCCAATTGCTCTACTCTGTTCTTTTCCCTGTTCTTGGAATTGTTAAACCGCTTTAGACAACTTTCTTCCCTTGCATCATTTTGCTTCCATTTTGATCAGATTATATTTCAGGGTAGATGGCTTACCAAAATAAATAAATAAATAATAAATAAATAAACAAAGTATACTATATAAAATATACTAGATAAAAGCAAACCATATAAACTATGAAATGTCAACCTTGAGAACTCATTTAGTGACTGCGTGAGGCTATCGGTGAGCTGGGAAGTGCCTTCTCTCTGAGCCTGGGGTGGTATTGGAGAAGCAATGACAAAACGGACCATCTGCTCCCGAGAAGCTTGCTGTCTTGTTAAGGACCTAGATCTGCTGGATTTTTAGAATAACTGAAACTTCCAGCTATACAGCATTGTGGGCAATGATTCATGCGTTTCTTTAATTTCACTTAATCTTTTTTGCTTATTTTTTACTGAATGTCTTCAGCTGTTCTTGTGCCAGTTACCCTGACTGACTCGCCGGTCTTCTCTGCCATCACCAGTGTCAGACTCTACCCAGTTTCTCTGTTCTGTTTTCTTTACACCACTTCACATCTGAATTTATTTTGCTTAGTTGCATAGAATTTAATTATCTGTCTGCTTCATAAGGCTGAATTACCTATAAGAATGGAGCCCCGAGGGGCCTCCAAGTTAGTCCTATTGTTCCAGATCCAGGGTAACTACTCAACAAACAATGCTTTAAAATTTTTAGAAAATGTAAATTACTTTTCTAAATATAAATTTATTTCTTATCCATTCTCTTGCTTTCATAAACTCCAAGAGCTGACATACTTAGATGGATAGATAGATAGATAGATAGATAGATAGATAGATAGACAGACAGATAGATAGATAGATAGCT